GGTCTGCGCTGGCAAATTTGCTTCCGTCTCATACTTCTCGCTGGTGGCCTTTAGTAGAAGACGTGTTTGAATCAGCGAGATGTAAAGCTCTTCGGTCATCGATCGATGCGGAATGTGTGGCCAACAAAGAATACACAGCATCATCTCCAGTGATGGTACTTTCCGTATTTGCCTGACTATACTGGGGCAGAAACCCTTCAACGTCAAAAAGGAATTGCGAGAAGAGGCTGCTTTCAAAGACAGTGAAAGCATTCGGCGGGTTATCGCAGTTCGTGGGCTGACTGGAGCTGTCGTTTCAATGTTTGCTGCCCACGGTGAGGGGTCTGATGATATTGCGCAAGGACTCCCAGAACACTTGAGTAAAGACGCTTTGTTGCAAGTGCGGTTTGTGGCCACTGATGCGCCCAGTTGTCGATTGCACCATGTGCTCTCTGGAGTTCTGCCAAACCTTGAAGCGTTGATGTTGGACCCAATACATCTCGCAATGCGTTGTGAATCAGCCTCAGCCCGCAAGAAAACGAGTGGGTCTGCTGCGTTGCGACGTTGCCTCGCTAAATTTGCCAATCAGGATGACCAGCATGGGCAAGATGCATGGGGCAATTTTTTCGATGGCAATAATGTTCGCAATGCGAGTGCTTATGAGGAAACATTGCATGAACAGATTATGTGTGGTACCATGCCTGCCTCCAAAGCTCGAAGGCTTTTGAATGGTGTCAACAGTCTCAAGGTGTCGGAAAGCCAGGTCACATTTGTGGAACGCCTAGCAGCGATCAGTGCTACCTAACGTGCTGAAGTTACGCGCAGGACTGAAGAAGGAAAGCGCGTTTGTGATTTGCTATGGCAGGCAGCCCAGGGTGGCTCTTCAACAATCTCCGCGTCAGAGCGATGATGTGCAAGAGTGCTAATGTGTTGATGCCGACTGGCGCAACGAGCAATGAGAGCCTGTGCGCAGAGATCAACGGCTGGTTTCGTCAGACCCAATGTTTGCGCCAGAGTACGTTGATATTGAAGCTGAGCATCGTAGTTCTTGGTAAGCTGCTGTCCCACAACACAGCCTTGTATTCGCCAACGGCAAGACAGATGTCATCCGGTCAAGTCTTAGCCGGGCGAGTTGGTGCAGGCTTGTGGCAGCAGCAGCAGCAGGAATGGAGCAAATGGGCAAGGCAAAGCGTTCAAAAGGCTATTCTGCCGGTAGAAGAGGCGCGCAAAGCGGAAAAATTGAAAGTCAAAACATTTGTTTTCAAACGTGCCCAGAAGCGCCCAGCCGCACAGCAGGCACATAGCACACCCTTTACGTTACCTCGTTCCGCTGGACTGAGCCAAGCCGGTGTACATCATCGCTCCGAAAGACGTAGATGAGGCAAAAGGCTTCAGGATCAATGCGATATTCGCTCAGATAAAAAGCAATAAAGTTGTTCGCAGTTGCAGAGAGCTTTCATTCTTATACGAGCGCCAAACAAATGCCTAAATGTTTTGGCGGTGGCCGCTTGCAAATCAAGGTGTCTACATACACTGTAGCCTTTCTCATATCACACATAGTCACACAGCTGACGGTTGAAGTAAAGGAAGCTTCAAAGGCTGTGACCGACATCGAGCGGCGCATCATCAGAACTGGATTGGGACACCGTGAGACAGGAACATGACCAGGGCACCATTAGAGATCGCCGTAACCGGACCGATTCTGTGATAGGAGACATGCTTCATCCAAATATACACGAGTTGTACAGCTTCAAGGATCGTGCGCGCTTACCTTCAATCCCAAGCGCACTCTCCTACTAACGCGCTGCGGCCGCCAAGTTTGACGCGAACGAGTGTGTGAAGAGAATGGCGTACGTGGACATATATGCGCGGGCGTAAACGTGTAGACAGACACAAGTAAACATATGAGGCCATATGCGTCGCAATGACATATCTTTTTTCATTGTATGGCGGGCAATATCGTTTACACCCACAACTTTGCGGAGCAGCTGTTTCAAGAGTTGCTTCCACATGCAAAGGCCGGTTTCTGACAGTGACAAGCGTATCTATTTCAACGCAGTAGGTTTTCCGCAGCTGGCTCATTTTCAAGAATATGTTAACACATCCAGTTATCACCGTGGAATCATCTAGAGACCCCACAAAGGTGCAGTCGCCCGTTTCCTGTTGCCCACAGGGTGATAATAGCATGGGGCTATGAAAGGCTCCATCATATACATGTATTATACTATTAAAACCTTTTAAATCATGAGATATAAGATATCCTGTGTTTGTCTATCATCTCACCACCGTATACAGATGGCTTGCCATTGCGGTACAAGCTCAGAAGCCGAAGCCGTGAAGGCGGCGCCACTTTCCGCATGCTTTGGATTTTTGGCGGAGTAGGCAGATAACCGCCGGTCACCTTGACCGAGTGCGAAGTGCAGCGATCATCTTACTGTCGCGCAAAAAGAAATACGCTGCGCTTTGAAAGCAAAGCTGTACTTAACGTCCTTGCAAATTATTTGCAGGTCTATTGAAGAGAGTTCGATCGCATTATACCAATTATTCCCTGCCACGAGTGGGGAGGTCCCACTCCCCTTACTCGCCCTGTGACGATGTTCATTTTGGACATCGTCCCGGCCGGGCTGTTCGGTCACTCAGCGTTGCAGCGTCCGGACCATGGGCAACTAGTCTCCAATAGTCTTCCTGCGCACTGAACTGAACTAAGCAAGCGTGTGTTAAGCCTTTCGTCAACACACTTGCCAAGACATTGATGCTCATTGCATCGCCAAGGCTTGCGTCCGTGCGCGCAGGAAGCTTGTGTTCCTCAGCCGCCCTTTGCGTGGCTCTCACAACTTTCTTTGGCACTCCTTGTCACGCAGGAGCTTCCTCAAGAAGCAAGCGGCGCCGAAGCTTTGGGATATAATATCCTCCCTGTCCCAAGCCGTGCGCGGCGCGCCGTTTGTCATCACTGCTTGGAATTTTCCCGAACATCCCTTGCTCACTCCCCATCTTGGAACCCAAAAGTCGCGCGTTGTTTAATTGCGTGTTTCAAAGCCCTTCAGCCCCTGACGGCAACAGAAAGTTACAGTTTTCAATGCTTCCGACGACGACCCTCAATTGTCAATCAATGTCAGGCAACTCTGACAGTAGTGGCTGGCAGCGCGACATCGACTCCTATTTTTGGAAAGTATAGCTGATCTCATGTGGGCAGCAGCAAAGTGTTCCAGAGTGAGCTGACCGTAGTCAGTCACAATTTGTCCGTAGACACTCTCATGGGGTGACGAGTGTCCGTAGACTTCCTTGTCTGTTTTTCTTACCAACGTGTCCGTAGACTTCAAGTCAAGTCAGTCCGCAGACATTTTCCTGATGGGTCCGTAGACACTTAGTCTGTAGACTATAATTTTCACCTGTCCGTAGACAAGCGCAGATCTGTCCTTAGACAGACTAGTTTGTTACATCCGTGGACATCAAGTCAATACCTCCTTAGAGGTTCATTCAATTTGGTCCGTGGACATTGGATCACAATCAGACCTGTCCGTAGACAAGTCCAACGTGTCCTTCAACATTGATGGCCATTGGGGGGAGAGGCTAAGATTCCATGGCAAGGTGAACAGGATGCAGCTGCGGTGACAAAACGTTTTGAAAAAAACCTGCCGATGCGCTGTGAAAGTTCAGCCAGGAGGTTGCAATGAGTTCAAGGTGTCGAAGTTGGACTTATCACCACAATCCCCACATATTTTCATTCAAACAAAGGAAAGAGACATAACATTTGTATAGTATGGGGTGGGCGACCTTACTCTACTATGCTTTGAGTTGTTCTTTCTGTAAACATTCAACGTACGGATATCACCTGGGAAGCTGGGCAACACTATTCCGCTGAAAAGAAAATATATGTCATATTATGTCATATAGTAGTTAGATTGAGACAAACGTAGGACCAATACCAACCAGATCTGTCAACGCATGGATGTGAATGACTCAGGTGGATTGTTTTGATAAAACAATTAGATATGGTCACAGTGTCAGGACCAGCTTCATTGTCATACATTGGATAGTTTCAGGACACCAAACCAATGAATGGTCACAATGCTGACCAGACAGTACTTTGACGGCGCGCACGCCTATTCCTCAACTTAGCAACACCTTCTGCTTGAATAGCGCCATCTTGCGCACCTTATTACTCAACTTAGCAACAAAGAAGACCCCAAGAGCAACCAAGCAACTGCTAAACAACGCCAGGACTTTTAGTCACTTGCTGGTTGTTGCGTTTGCGGCTTTCTTGAGAACAGGTGAGCTTCTAGAGTTGAAGCGGGAACATGTAACATTGGGAAAGGATAAGGCCATCTTGTTCCTTCCAACGTCAAAGGGAGCAAAGAGAACATTCATTCCTTTGGAAAGGGTAGAACTCACGGAGTCTACCTGCCTTAAGTCGTTGAAGCACCTGCTCAAGAACAACAAGTCTGGAACATTTTGGAAAGGTAGCCGCTATGAATTTTGGAAAGGCGACGTGAGGTAGTGGCTTCGCTACACCTAGATTCTTTCTACTTTAAACCGTGCAGCCTTAGGAGGTGGTGCCTCTACAGCTTATAGGAATGGCGCCTCTAGTGACCAATTGCTCACCAAAGGACGCTGGTCCTGTGCTAGTCCAGCTAGGATATATTTAGATACGGCATTGCAAGCCCTGATCACGCTCACTTTGCCCCCCCTGTCCCAACGCCCTGTTCGTCGTGCTCTTGAAGACTTCTTTAAATTCCATTGAGCCAGTCAGGAGCGCGTGGAAGGGAGCCATAGGTGCTTGGTAAAGGTATGGTCGGGCTTGAATGCCTTTCAGTCATAAGGCACGGGCTGATTTGACAAAAAGCAAGCTGGGGCTCATACAAGTGCATATATATATATATATTTATGTATGGATATAATTTCGAAGAAGCGGGGGACAGCCCAAGCAGACCAACCTGCCTTAGGGAGACAACTGCGTAAACCATTTTGCAGGCTTGTCGTTTTGTATTCGACTCTACGGCAGACTATAGCAACCATCCGAGGAAGACAGCAAAGAGCCGTTGCCGGGTCGCCAGAGTGCCGGAGTTTTGAAGCAGCGCCTGTCCTGCTCGTTTTGCTTGTTCTTGTTTGGAGATTCCCTTCCAGCTCAATTGCCAGGTTCAGAGCTGCTGGAAATAGTTCGGGCTGCTGCTGCAAATGCTTTGGGCCGATCTGACATTGATGTGGACACAGTGCTGGTGCGCTCTGCCGAGCCTTCGAGTAGTGTGCAGGGATTAGAAGGTTCTAGTCCCAGGTTGGTGGTCTTCTTGATATCGAAGCGTTTGAGTTCAGCTAACCCATTCCGAAAGGCTGGGAGCCTGGGCTTGGATTCTGCAGCCGTCACAGCCCTTGTCGCCCTTTGTGGCACATTATTTATGCTCCGAGGAAACACCAACTGGTTGACTCAAACAAATGCCTTTCTTTCTTTGAGAAAGTAGGCTGCTATTTCATGCTATTTATTTATATATATATATGGTACCCCCCCCAAGGTTTTCACCCAGAACTGGACACTGCTTCACAATATGCCTTGCAAGCCAAAGAAGGTAGTCTTGGGGGGGTAGCATATATATATATAATATTTACATAGTTGAACCAGTCAGTAATTGCTTTGCTCCAAGGCTCTTCGTTTTGCTCACGCCATTGAGAAACAGCTCGACACAGGCGACTAGTCGCGAAAAGGGACGCGACTGAAGCGGCGACCATGGAATGTGCAGGCGGTCGACGGCTGCCGGCAACCCTGGTTTTCGACTATCCCAGTGTTGCAGAGATTGTGGACAAAGGCTTGATTGCAGTGTGACTGATACCCTGTGACAGAGGTAGTTGATGCCCTGTTGCCTGTTGCACAGGACTGCCACGCTTTCTAAACGGCATCCTTCCTGAGCATGGGCTACCTGAGCAAGCTGCCAAGGTGTTGATCTACTATATTAATGTGTATATATATATATAAACACATACACACTGTAGAATGTCAGGCAATTCTTGGGTTTGTCAGGGTTGTGTAGACTGATTTCAAAGCTGCTTGTGTCATGGTCGCATGTACCAGCATGGACCAGTTTGGAGCCTGCGAAAGCCTGCATTCTTGTCAAACATGCTTGGTTAAACGGTTCAATCGTAAGCCCAAAAACCCTAGAGCGATTGCAGGCTCCTGAGACTCTGATCTCATCATCCAGTTGGGAGTTGCCGGGTGCACATGATCTGGAGGCGAGCTCAGCCCCCATGTTGTCTCCGAAGGGTCGAACCATGTCGAACCAATCCAAATACCATTGCCCAAGCGGTACGAGCCAATTGGTACGATGGCAGTCTTTGAGGTGCTTTGGTCCAGGCTCCAGCAAGAGGCACCGTGGAGCTTAGACGCAGCCCACATGGAATTTGTGTAAGCCTTTAAGAAAACCGTGGGGCTGTCCGTGGAAGGTTGATGAAGTCCAGGAAATCCCACTGTGCAGGACAGGGTGATCAATTCCAATGAATGTCTTGAGTTGCTTTGAGCCTCAGGTGGGACTGGACAGAAGCCACTTCAATGGTAGGCCGAGAGCTTAAAAGATCGAGCACACACACACACAAACCTGTTTTGGACAGTAAAGATGGATCCCAAACTCATACTACGGGGATCTACGGGGCACGGATGGGCACGGGGAATTGAAAGACATAAGACATGACATTCAATGATACTCTGTGTGGATCTGCGTTGCATTCTGTGGGTCTATACAACTATGTCTAACTGGTCCCATTGAGCTCCAGTTGGTAGGTGTCCGACATGGCAGCTTCATCGAGGGTGCCGACCAATTCGATGCAAGTTTTTTCGGTGAGACGCTCAGCAACAAATTGAACCACGCTCAATTCTGCTCCAGCTTTGAAGTATCAGCCAATCTTTTCATAAAGAATCCTGCTCCATCCCAAGTGATCAATGTGATCCTCTTCCACTGTTTGCAGGTCTTTCGCCTGCCGAAACGCAAGTCTTGGCCCCAGAGAGGGACGGCAGAATGTGCTCCGTCAATGGAGTCGATGTCCAGGCCCAAGATCCACAGCAGCGACTCGTGCATCACAGCCGCGCTTTGGAGAAGATGGGCATGTCGAACCGGGAGATCCCCAAGTGCCACTACTAACTGAGCACGCCTTATTTATTGATATTCATTTTTTTGCATATATCTTAAAATAGTTTAAACATGTTTAAACAATCTTAGAAGGGAATCCTCACTTTGAGACATTCATATACCATTGTGGTATTGTCATTTTGGATCATTTTAGGTATGTCGCAGATGAAATCACATCCAGATCCGGAACTGGGCCAGGCTATCGACGTCTTACAAGGCGTTGGCAGCCGCCGGTCACGACCAGGCTCTCCGAAGGATTTTTCACACGAGTGACTCGGGGATGCTCGGGGATCCAAGGGACGCGCGTGCTTTCAGGGGACGCTCCAAGGGGCGCCAATGTCAATTTTCGTTGCTTTAAGCAACCAGGACACAGAGCCGAGTCCTGTGTCGTTGGAAGTCAAACTGAGTTCGAAGTCGCCTCCGAAGTTGGCAGGACTGGTATCACTGGTCTCTAAACGCGACTCCGACCGCATACACAGGCCCTGAACTCGAGCTAGGTCGCAAATGGTTGGGGAAGCGGAAATTGGTCAATGTGCAAACATGTCGTGTGGACGCTGACCAAAGAGCAAGGGCGGGGACTGAACCGAACCGTAGGAGTTCCACGAGAGAACTGCCAGGCACTGGAGTGTCTGCTGCTTTAGCAGCGAATCGGATTTCTTTTGCGCTGGGCTTGCGCGGGACCAGTGCCACCATCGATACTGCATGTGCAGCCGACATGTGTTGAAGCTTGGAGCAATGCTTATATAGGCTTTTCAAGTCAAACAGGAACGACCTTCATTCGATCTTCCATGCATGCACATAGTGCAGGTTCTTCGTCTTTGACATCTATACAAGCAGCTGCAGAGAGTCTTCAACGCCCCTCGCGACGTGCAGGCACGCCAATCCACGATGGTCGTAGATTCACCAGATTCACGACCAGAACTGGTCGTTTCCTTGCAGATCTGTTGAGTCAATCAAACCTTCGGTTCCATGTGCCTTTGCCAGTGATTTCCTGTGTAGCTGGAGGTCCTGCATGCAGAAGAAGACTAAGGGAATCCGCAGGAGCCTTCGTTGTTTGAGAGAACTTTCCTCAAAGGACCAATCATTTTTCAGTGAGGTCGCCGCTGGCTGTGAGCTATTGTCCACCGCTCAGCTCGGGCTGACCAATATTTGATATGCTTCTGATGGTGACTTACAGCGTCAATGCTTCCTTCAGACTTGGGCCAAACTCTGTACTTCTTCGGTCATCTGCCAGCATGCTATCGCCAGACTCTTAGCACCGAGAACACATTCGCCAAGCTTGTCAATTCCAAACTGAACAGGCCAACCGGGCGCTGCCAAACCTTCAATGCCACGGCCGACGGATACGTCAGGACTGACCGGAAAGGATTCTGAAACTGCTTGGCATGGAGTTTGATGCTTGGCCAAGTCCGAGTGAATGTGCTTGGCCGAGATTAGAGTGCTACTTGAAGATAGAAGGAAGATCATGCGCAAGAGTTGGTCAACCCTGGGTTGCTTGCAGGGGCGAAGGCTCTGGGGCCCGGAATCTTGGATATTTTTTTAAGTCTTCACTTGCAAGAGTGCTGCCATAGAGATCAATGAATGAGTACTGGTGCTATGTCGGAATGAGAGAGTCACCCCATTCAAGCAGGGTTGCGAAGCACATCTCACAACCAAATCGCTCTTGTTTCTAAGGCTATCCTGCTGACATTGGGAGAGGATCCATCTTGGGCTGGAAGCCAGGTGCCACTTCTCAACGGCCCGTTGTTCGTTGTTGCAAAAGTGCTGGCCGATGCTGGAAGCTGACTCGGAGTAGCCTGACTAGCCGTGCTTGCAGTGAATTGCCTGCCAAACTGGAACACATGGATGATCATGGATAAGTATTCGCATTAGATTGTAGCGGGAACAGTAATATGGCAAAACCGTTTGGTCAGTGGAGGGTCTCCCCCTATTGTAGTGCACCCACAGAAAGACAGACGGGACGGCGGGTCGTTTGGAAGGTCATGCTGTGTGCATCGACCACAAACCAGGAGCACCAATCGCTGGCATGTTGTCGGGGTTTCGAGGGTTCCTGTCTCTCACGTGAGAGGATGGGCGCAGCACGAGTCTTACTGCACCAAATGGGCAGGCGCAACAGGAGGCCGGAAGAGACAAAGCCAGACAGAGAGCAGCTCAGTATGTCCGGATTTGTGTTCCTTCTGACTGAAGTGAAGTGGGCCAGTTTCCAAACACAGAGTGGAGGTGTTGCTTGATGCTTTGTGGCAGCAGCCCCAGTATCAATAGTTTATTTTGGCTTGATCCTTCGGATGAACCATGCAGGATGGCGGCAGTGCCTGCAGCTGCTGTCAGCTTCGTGGAATGCCATGGAACGGGGACAGCTCTGGGAGATCCCATTGAGGTTGGAAGATCCGATTCCCAAACAGTTCCTGTTCCATGCTGCAAGCTTTTGCAAGAAAATCAAACATGGAAAGGCCTGCCAATCTAACAAGACTTGAGAATCAGGTTGGAGCTTTGCGAAGAGTCTTGGGAGCGCACAAAGAGGTCGGGAAGTTTCAACCAGTCAGCCTGTGAAAAAGAAAGTGTTGAGGAGAAGCTATGGCTTGCTGCTGGAAAGAGCAACATGGGTCATTTAGAGGCGCGATCTTCTGAAGGTGTCCCTTTTATTGCAAGCTTCTTTGAGACTTTGTCATGATTTGTTACTGTCATACCAGGCAGCAGCTGGATTGGCAGGTCTTGCCAAGGCCCGCTAGCCGCTAGCCTCCACATGCCCCGATTTGCTTTAGCAGACGTGTTTGAAGGCCATGTGTTGTCTGCTTCATCGGGCTGTTCCGCCAAACCTGCACTTTGCATCGCTGAACCCCCACATTGAGCTGGACAAATCATGCCTGGCGGTGCCGTGCGGAGTGGCTTTGTCCCAAACGTTCACAGCGCTTGTGAACTTGAAACAATCTTTGCAATTCTAGACTCTAGACCCGACCAATTTCACATCCACTCTTTTTTTTTTGATGTGCGCTTTGGTCAGTATTGTGGTTTGCATTTTTTGCACAAGCATGGCTCGTGCAAACTGTCATCTCTGCCTGAGAAAGGATGAACACTTGGTTTCAGAAAGTATGGGACTTTTAGGTGAGCCAGCTCTCGCAATCTGGACAGATGATTGCAGGCGCGTGGCGAAAAGTCGCGTTTTGCCTCTTTGGATATCACGGATAGTCTCGGGTCCAGATGGTCCGATTGTCGCAGTTGAGAGCATTTGCTGGGCCAGGTTTGTCATCGTTTGGCTTTGGTGGAACCAATGCACATGCTCCTTGTCTTGAGTCGCTGAAGATGAGCATCAATCAGGGTGTGTCAGAACTGTTGTGCCAACCTCCACTGGCAGCGTTATGGCTTACAACAAGTCCACTGGGTTTGCTACACAAGTGCTACGCAAATGCTTGACTTTAGGCACTCTTGAGAGTTGCCTCCCAAGCTCGTGAACATCTCAGCCATAAAGCACCAGGGGAGCGGGGACAGCGGGGACAGCGGGGAGTGGAATAGTAGCTTTATTGTTCTTAGTAGTAAGGCCCGGAGCAGTAGCTTCTTGTAAGGCCCAGAACCTGTTGCTTGCATGAAAGCAGCCGCCTGAGACACCACCTTGCAGCACAATGATGTCAGCGGCACGTCAAGTTGTCATTCAATATGTTCTTTGAACTGAGGTTGCCATGCTTTTCACTGGCCACAATCGCTTCAGGCAAGCACGGAAGATGTTTTGAAGAAAGGCTGTAACTATGAGCCAGAAGAGATGCACGATTGACCAAGTCTCTAACCACTGAGACACTGGAGAAACGTGCCACTCCGTCACGTGGCTCCAGTTGATGGGATGATGGCTTTACTTCAGGCCTGGACAATTCCAGGAGTTATACACCGCGAATACGGCCTTTCGTGTTGCAATGGATCGATGCGTCTATAGCTTAGAACCACAAAGTAATTGCAAAGTTTGAGCCTTTCCAAAAGAGCTACAGTATGTAAAATGATGTAACATGTTTACATTAAAATTGCCTGACAGCCTGAATTGTTTGGATCTTGAGGCGAAGCTTTGTTCTTCTTATTTGGAGCATTCGCTGTTGGACGTCCTTTTTTCAGCCCTAGCCTTTGACAGATCAAGCCGTTTCCCTCGGCCTCACCCTCCCACTTCCCAGCGCTGAGGCAGAGGATCCGATGGGACGATTAAGAGATGGCCTGAGAGATTGGAGCATCCAATCATGGCACAAGTTTTCAGGGTACTTCAATGTAGTTCAACATTAACTCAACCATTTCAGCATTGAAGCCCAGGTTCTTCTGCTTTGTATTCCTTTACAGCTACTTTCTGTCTACAGTATGCTATGGCGTGGTACTGAAGAGAATCTTCTCAGATTGAACGCGAACCAGTGCATTTTGCTGCCAGGTGGATATGTGGCAAGCTCGTGGGGTACGGCCAGTGGCAGTGCTTGGGCATAGCCTTCACCTTGGGCTTGGTCACAGTACCGTAGAAAGTTCAAAAACACTTCAACAGTGCTTGTCCTCACCAAGCGCTTTCGTGGCTTGATCGAGATGTGTGTTCAGGTCTCGGAGAGTTCGCAGCAGCCGTAAGTGCTGGAGCTGCTGCCTCAAGCCTTTGTAGCGCCTCAAGCTTTAAGCATGCTAGGAGGTGGGCCGTTGAGGGATCGCCTTTGCTTGCTTGTTTGATATGATATGAGTCAGGTCTTCTCTCTGGAAGACGGGCCTTATACTCAGAATCTGCCAGTTCTGCAAAAGTTATTCTGGCTCCCCCATTTGCATCCAGCAGTTCTGCCTTTTGCGATAGTCAAGCCTCGTGGACAGACTGGAACCATAACGATAGGTTGCGCTTGGTGGCTGCAAGAGGCCGACTTCTTGATGAAAAGTCCGAACCTCGAGAACCTCGAAATCCAACTTCGATACATCGAAATCGTAAGGGCAATTTAAGGCAGAATTGCATCAACAGGTGTCCATTTGGTGTGATGGCAACATGTGGTGTCAGGTGCAGCAAAGACGAGGGCCGCATGGCTGCGATTTTTGCGCCTGCCAATGAGGCAGGGGTGGTGTTTGCGTTGAGATGTCCAGAGAGTCTGCGCCACGTAGGTCCAAGCCATTGTGGTCTGAGCCTCGGAAAAATGGGCATCTTCGTTTTTTGGATGTCTTGGTTTCATGCGAAATCTGCAGGATGAATACCAAGATCTATCAGTTTCTGGCATCAACAGCCCATGCCAAACAGCCGGAATCTCATGCTCAATAGAGCGGGACAGAAGACATGAGAATTCATGAGAACGGGTCCAAGTCTTTTGCTTCCTTCTTTTTGGTGAACACGGTGAACATCTCACCAAAGGTACAGTTCTTGGAAGAGTAAGACTCAGTGAGAGGATTTCACAACACTTGCTCTCAGGTGGTGTCGGGTCGAAAGGATCAGGTGGAGGATCGAGTTGAATCGAGTTCTGGAACAAAGAAAGTGCGTCGCATGTACCTCGGATGGCTGCAGGCGATTTGCAAGCGCTTCCCGGAGAAAAGCAAGATACTGGGATCGTCAAGCACCCAAGTTTCTGCCAAATTTCCAAAAAATGCTTGTCGCATCTTTGCATGGTGGTATCCCACAAGTAGTTCTTCTACCAGCGTAAGGATAGCTGACCGGTCGGAAGCTTTTTGGGCTCAGAAGTTTAGTTTGGCCAAAGTCTGCCGCTAACTGGAGATCGAAGTTTCAGTTGCCCAAAGATCTGACGGGTTTCAGGCAAGTGGAAGAGTTTGTGGCACATGTGGCGGTCAGACCAGAAATAGTTTGTTTGCCATTTGGATGCTGCGAGGCAACAATGATCTCTTGCAGCATCTCGCCTGTGAGTGCCAACGCCTTCCAGGCTCAAACATGTTTGGCAATCTTGTAACTATGTGGTGGATGACCAAAGGCACAAGGAAGAGATCTCGATGAAGAAGCAGTCAAGCTTCCCTGAACAAAATGTTTATCATAGAGAGGACTTGTTTGAGTGTAAAGGACATCAACCATCAACCCTTCGAAGCGGAGACATCTCTTGAGAACTGTTGCTTGTCGTAAACTTACAGTAATGGGTCTCACAAACAAGCTGTTCCATGCGACAAGACCCTCAAGACTAAGACAGGTTGAAGCACGAGCTGTGCAGAGGTTTCTGATGGTTTTTGTCTTCTTCTTATGTCACCACAGAAGGTCAATTCTTCTTTGGACCTTGAATGAACCTGGAAGTTTTCCGCCCTTAACCTTGGTTGCACAGCGCAACAGTCAGCAACAATATCATGCACTCAAATACAGGCCAATTCTCTCACAGAAGGATGTTCCCCAGCACTTAACATGCAACTTCTGAAACCACGATGTCTCCGCAAGTGTTTGTAGTTGATTTCAGTGGACATGTGCCAACCTTTTGCATGAACGTACTGTGTGTGTGTGTGCCCCTTGTAGTCACAGGGATCCACTCGGATTGTGTTTTTGTTTTTTGTTCAGCAGGGGGCTCTCGGAGCCTGCGTCAGACGAGAGCCAACGAAGACTCTCACGCAGTGCTTGTGTAAACGTACCTGCTTGGTGCACCTGGGCGCATTATAAGACGCAGCTGGTGGCCACTTTTTCCTTTTGTAAAGTGCTAATGCAGCTGCAGTCACGCACGGTACGCCGTCACCTTGTCGCGTTTCCGCAGTTCGAGTTCGTGGGCTTTGGAGGTTCCTTGGAAGGTTCTACAGTTACCACTTAACCTGAACCCTTGACCCTTAGGCATTCAAACCTAGGTGGGCGTGTGGCATGTGGCATTCAGTTCCGTACGCAAAATCATAAGTGTGTCTCTCCTAGTGAGAGCCCAGGGTGAGCCCGCAGAGTGCTTTTTGTGGACCCGTTGAACGGGGGTTTGTCGAACGTATCCCCTGCCCGGATACAAAGCTGCTCACAGCGAGCGTAGGTGGCCTAGGCCGAGAGAACGCAGATTTATGTCCAATTTCTTGAATTCCAAGCTGGCTCATGCCTTAACGTGACCGTAGCGGTCAAAGCTGCCAGCCATTTTGGCACGGCGTACGTGGCCGCAGCGGCCGAAGCTTGTGAAAGACTCGTTGGAGTCTGTCGGGACCTTAGTCCCTTCTTCCTCCCCCTACTCTCCCCCTTCTTCTCTCTTTGCCTGTTTGGGGTTTACCTGAATGTAACACTCAGGTTTACCCCTCTCCGTGGTGTGTCTCTGGACGCTTGCGCGTAGCTGGGAACACCTGTTGTCGTTCTTTTTCCTTTCTCCCTCTTCCTTCTTCTTTCAGGTGTCCCTGGATGCTTTCGTCATAGCTGGGAACCCTTCTCTTCCTCTCTTGGTGTGTCCTTGGACGCTTGTGTCGTAGCTGGCAACACCTCTTTTCCTTTCCTTTCTTTTCTTTCTTCTCTTCTCTCCCTACCCCTCCCTCGTGTCGGGACCTTAGAGTGGGACGCTACTAGGGGCTCCTGGCCTTACTACTAGGTGCAAGGACGCTACTAGGTACGAGCAGCCTCCCCTTGGGGAGGCGTGTGTGTGTGTGTGTGTGCCCCTTGTAGTCACAGGGATCCACTCGGATTGTGTTTTTGTTTTTTGTTCAGCAGGGAGCTCTCGGAGCCTGCGTCAGACGAGAGCCAACGAAGACTCTCACGCAGTGCTTGTGTAAACGTACCTGCTTGGTGCACCTGGGCGCATTATAAGACGCAGCTGGTGGCCACTTTTTCCTTTTGTAAAGTGCTAATGCAGCTGCAGTCACGCACGGTACGCCGTCACCTTATCGCGTTTCCGCAGTTCGAGTTCGTGGGCTTTGGAGGTTCCTTGGAAGGTTCTACAGTTACCACTTAACCTGAACCCTTAGGCATTCAAACCTAGGTGGGCGTGTGGCATGTGGCATTCAGTTCCGTACGCAAAATCAACAGTGTGTGAGACTCAAACATGTTGCCACTGTGATGCCCGATGCAGCCGGCCAGTAACAGTATATGCACTTGTGCAGCGGTCCCAGACGGCATCGTTTTGGCAACATAGACCCAGCTTTGGTGCCCAAAATTTGACCAAAGAGTCGGCTTTCCCTTTTGCAACGCACCCCGCGGCACTGGGTACTGTGGATATAATTTGATATATATATATATTATCTGATATAATCTATCATATATATATATATAATAACTTATATGTTTTTTCCTACATACTGTGTACACACGTATATGATCGCATCATACAACCATTATCACAGCACTTTACAATAAATCGCATCACGCCACATCATATGTACTGTGCCAAATGTACACATTATGATGTACCTTCACATCCAGCTTTGTGCCCGCCACGCCGTCACGCCGCCACGCCGCGTCAGGGTGTGCAGCTAGGTTCAGGCCTTGCAACTTCGAGTCAAGGCGAGTGGAAGAGAATAGATTTCGGACTCTGCCATCTCTAGGACAAGCTTTTCAGACCAGCTTGGGACGATGTTTACTTAAGGGGTGCGTACAACATGCCCTTTCCCCGAATTTTCTCGATGTCAGGAAAATTACGCCAGCCACAAGCAGCTTTGTGTGGAAATTGCAGCGCGCTCGCGCGGAAGGAGCTGAACTGGCGGTTTGGGGACGTTTTGGTCACCGAAACGATCATGGCATACGCGTGGCACACGGTGGTAATCTTTCAATCCGCGGAGCAAACAAAGCCGGCGAGTCTCGCGCGTCCTTTGAGTCTCCCGAAGGCAAGCTTTGGCTTCGTGGCCGGGCTTTGTGCACGTGTGCGGCAGCGAAACCGAGTTGCTACGTTGGTGGCAAGAGCTGACAAGGAGGAGCATGCAGTCGGGCACGTGAATCTTATAGTCTTGGAGTCTTCGAAGTGCAGGAATCTCCGGACATCAAGACTTCAGTGGATGTGGAGATCTTGTCCGACGAAAGCTTGAGGAGACGATTGGAGGCTGACAATGCAATGATGCATGTTGTTTCATGTTGTTTCTTCTACATGTGATGGCGCTTCCAGCTGTGCTTTGCTTTCATTTCGAAGAAAACTTGTTCCAAATGCTCTTCTCAGGCATCACTGGCCTTGCAGCAGCCAGCAGCTCTACCGCTCCTCGGACAGTGCTTAAACTTATACTTATGCATGCTCTACGTGAGCGCTTTACTGTAGGCTCGACCCGACCGTCGTGAGGTTTCTGCCTCCACCAAAGTACAGGGACTTCATCGTGAATTGTCCCGGGGATGCTGGCTTTGACCCTGCAAGCCTTGCTCGGGTGGCAGCCTTAGACCGCTTGTGGCGGTTTTGACCATTTATTACTTCAGACGACCCATGGTCGACACGACTTTGGGGTGAGTCAGACACACCTAAAAAGAGTTTGGGGTAGCAAACAGAGCTGAGGATTTGACCACTTTCAGATGGATGCAGGAATCAGAGCTGAAACATTCACGCATTGCTATGGTCTCTGTGGTGCTGTGGCCACTCTCAGAGCTAGACTGCTCCTTTCTGGACTTGGAAGGTGCAGGCTCTGGCAGTGTTGACAAGTGTTTTGGAACTTCACAGTAATCCCTCTAGATAAGACATGAGAGCACTGCGCAATAGCCCAATCCTTCGGGTGTGAGAAGATTGTTCACTCCAGGTGCACTACAGCACTTTCCTTTTGCTTTGGTCCTTGGGATGGGATCTTTAGCGGCTGCCATCCCAGAGATGTCAAAGATGCCCGAGTCTCCACCAGGGTACTATGGCTTTGACCCACTGAACTTGAAGGAGATTGTGTGTGTGTGTGTCACTTCCTGTTGCAAAGGACATACACAGTTCAAAATTTTAAAGGCAGGGGGGTCGCTGGGGATTCGTGCAGTCAGCGACCAACGAAGACGCTGCACGTTTCCCGTGATATGAGTCAGGGACGCCTGACTCACGTACCTGCATTTGTGAAGGGTTACTGAGCTATGTTAAACATTGCTGTTCTCCGGACTCTTTCACCTTTCGGTTCTGCAAGTCAAGGTCTACTGCACCGGTAATGTAATGGCTAGGGGCTACCTTCACTGACTCAGCTCTTGCGAGCATCAATCTAAGTGTGTGTGTGTTTTTTTGTTGACAAAGGTGCCGTGGTAGTTTGCCGCGAAAGGTGCAGGAATCGAATTGGGTCTTTCGAGGCTTCTTAGACTAGAATTCACATGAACTCACATTGTGACCATCACTCTGTCAGCGTCTTCATGGATTCATCGACGAGACGTGTACCGTTGTGGAATTGTGGACTTGCCTTTAGGACTTCGAAATGCCAATGTCGTGCTGGCTGCCAAAGGGGCGGCGGTGGATGGCAGAAGCAGAACTAAAGCATGGACGCTTGGCAATGTTGGCATGCCTGGCCTTTGCCTTCATAGAGCTTTCGACCAAGGCCTGCGCGACATGTGACATGCATGCGACATGTGGTCATCTGTGACTTCGTGGGATGAGTGAAACACCGGGACAGCGTCCAACAAATCCTTTTGAGCAGGGATTTAGAATGGGATATCTAAGATATCTATATAAGTTGTTCATGAGCCAACTAAGTTCTGAGACAGGCTGGTTGACGCTTTGTATCTCGATGGCATGTGTGCTGGGATAGAAGGAGTCTCAGACTCTCAGAGGATATTTACTTGTGATGCCAGGTGCCAATTGTGAGACATGCACCGTTCCAGTGAGGAGTTCACGTAGATAGTGAAGCTTTCCTCTGAATGCGTGCTCCTGCATGACTCTGACGTTTGTTTCCTGTCACTCATTGCGTTGGTCATTCGAACCTTTGTTGCTTTGGCAATCTTTTTGACAAAGACTATATGGAGGTCGGAGCCGCGTTGCATTTAAGCTTCAATTAGTTCAATCTTTTTCTGGACTCTGTTCCTGGTGAGCAAGAGCCTCTGGCGAAGAGGAGAAATGTTGCTCAACCGGATGTTCCTAGCATGTTGGGCAACACGCGCCCTTGACACCCGCCAAAACATCACCCTACTTGGAGTCATGAGGATCTTGTCGCTGTTTTCGGTGTGTTTTTTGGTTTTAAGCAGTTTTTGGTGCGGTGTCAAAATTAGCGCCGGGCCGAGTTCCGGCAGTTGCCTCGTTCCGATGCGGCAGGTTGCAGTGCCGAAGTTTGAGTGGCTTCCAAAACCGAAGCTACGAAAACTGCGGAAGCTTCGCCATTTTATTGTAAATCTCAGAACTGCAAAAGCAAAGATCAACTTCTATTCAAGGATTTTTGGGTACACAAAAACAACTACTCAGGAACACTGTATTGCCAACTGCAAACACACACACACACACTCACACAGACACATACAGACCTACAGACTATTTCAATCCATTAATGGCTGCTTTCCCGGTCGCTGCACCTGGCAACTCTGTCAACGCGACAACGACTAATGCTTCTTGGGGGGGAAATGTGTTTCCTTTGTGCGAAGCAAGAATCAATCAGTCATCAATGAACATCAACTCTCAAAGCCCGTTGAAAGCAAAACCAAGCATTCCAATTGCTCAGGCACTATGCCATGCACTCCGACTTGGTGTCAGATGTACGCGCAGGAATATGTGTTGCTATAGGAAACAGATTTGCTACATATGAGCGCACCTTGGCCTACACAGGAGTCAAGGAAGAGATCAAGGCTTGAAGGGCTCTGACTCATAGTAGAACTAGATGAGAAGGCTGTTCAGTAGTATTTTTCCTCCCTATTTTGCATTGCATTTGGGGAGGCCTGCACCTTTGCTCCTCCGACAAGCGGAATTTCCTTCGCCGATTTCTTGGACTTGGAGCTTTCACAATATTTCACAGAGATACTTCAGCAACGAAGTGGCTTCTCTGCCGTCAGGTGTCTTCCATGACGGGTTCAGTTGAGAAGGAAGAAGTCACGAAGGAGGGCTACTGGTTGAGTGGGGTTGCTAAGTCGAGTTCTTTTTCCTGCATGACACTTCAATCCTGTCGACACCTGTCCACTTGTTCGACTTAATGTTTTGGCACCATGAGGCCACGACTCTGCAAAGCCTGTGAATTTCTGGGCTGCCGCTGCATCCTCAGAGCACTTTTGACCAGCTGAGTCAACAGTTCGACACAACAAGGGTGATGCTTGAGGCGAAGCACCTAGAAAAGATTGGCTGCAATGCGTTCATCGAGATAGGTCGCTTGCACAGCCGTTCCTGTCAGCTGTCAAAGAGCAATCATGTTGGGGTGGAATACTTGCACTCAGACGAAACACCAAGAACGCAAGTGCATACGGTACACGGATGTACACGGTACATACTGCACACTGTACATACTCTCTGAGTCGTCAACATGGAAGTGTAAAAACACCTGTTTTTAGAACATCAGAATAAGGATCTTCCAGGGGCCTAAGAATATGAATGTCTATATATATATGTATACTATATTTGTTACTGTAAATATAATGTTAGGAACAGTTTTGGCTATTCCATTTGGCAGCATGACATGGGGCACAAACCTGTCTCAACATGTTCAGCTCTTGAACCACAAAGAAGTCGGTGTGTTGGAACGTGGGAGCCCTTGCGTCCCAGGGCCAGGAAGTAAGCCAGGTACATAGACCAGCAGGGAGGAAGGAAGGAATACCTTATACACAGAGGATCACACACAGGCATTTGCTAGATGTGTGGGAACTGTTGGATTTTCGAGCCTGGGTGTTTTGAACACTTTTCATTTAATCGGATTTAGATTTGTCAGACGTTGCAAGTGCAAGAGCCATTTGTTAGTGAGTAAGCTGGACCATGCAACCCTGGCAAGTTCCAAGCACCTGCAAACCAGACCACAGGCACATGGTGATTTTTGAGTGTATCTATTTTTGTGCATACAGGTGTGCGTGTCTCTCCGTTTTGATAGAAATGATGGAGTGGTTTTTTGTTTCGCCTTGGACATATTCTTGGGGTGTCGTTTAGAAGCAGCCCCGCTCCATACTGTGCAGCGAGGGCGCTAGGTTGGCACAAGAAATGTATATCTTGCACCCGGCTGGACAACATGCACCTGATGACGGTCCACTGGTCCATGATCCAAATCATGTAATGGCCTGTAGTACGTAGCCTTTGTGCATCGCTCTCCGAAGTCTTGAAGACGCGTCGAGGAGGTAAGAGAAAAGGAAGACACTTGTCTCCACCACACTTTTTTAGAATACCTTTTGGGAATGTTTGGACAAGCGCCGATAAGGTGCACATGTATATAGAAATATTAAATATACGTATAACTACATATATAATGGTGCTGAAGTTCCATTGTATACCAAAAAGTATATTCTCCCGACAATGTGAGCAAATCCATCTATATATCTGAGATATATCTGTGTATGCATTTCATGCAGAGTTTTGGGGTCTGATTGCAAGTCTGTACCTTCTGCCTTCACAACCTTCAGCATTCAGCATTGCAAGGCTCCAGACCCGTGCATTGCCAGCTGGTTTTTGAAGCTTTTGAATTGGTGAATGTTGGTCACTTCCTGACAAGGATTGATTGCTTTTCACGTTTGAGTACCCAGAGTGTTTGTAGAGCACTTTTGTGCAGCAACCCGAAGTCTTGGATTGGTCGTGGAAAGATGTGCCAGGCTAACTCGTTTGGCGCAAACCTTTTGCCAGGCCCGCCTCAACTGAGCACATATGCCAACCAACTCACTGGGGAGTAACGCTATGTATAGAATCTGCTGTAGGGTTAACACCGAATCTATGCCAATGTTCAATCATTTTCACATTGCTCTCAGGTACCAGGGGCCATGTGGCTCACAACTCTTGAGATTGCGCCTTATCGCTTCAGTTTCTGATCCGGTTTGTGCATAGGGAAATAACACCACCAAGGCCGGAACGCGAGGAGACCGAGTCGCTGCTCTCCACTTGCCGCGCATTGCAGGCTGAGCTTGTTGCAGGGAGACAGGAGATCTGGGAAGTAGAATAGCACACTGTGATCATTGTGCTTCCGCTTTTGGTACTTTGTTTTGAACTTTCCCTTCCTGAGGGTGTCCAAAGCAAGGGCTGTGAGTTGCAGCCACAGCGATTCCCCTGGGCACAGGCCCCAGAAATTTTGCCGCTGCAGTTTGTTCTGCGCATCGCTCATGCGACAAGCCATTCAGTCTGCCAAACCCAATCTTTGCATTTGGAACTAACGAGGTGAAACCGCTTCTACATCCTTTGCTTGGCTCGCTGCAGCAGACTGGGCAGGCACCTGGAGAGTTGAAGAATTGGGCGGGGCCGGCTGTGTCGGCATTGCTTTGGTGTTCCGGATAGCTTCCTCTTACAGAGACCCTCTACTCGCGTCACGTGCGAGTCAGGTTTGCAGCATCCAATCCAAGACCCTACTCCGTGATGCCGACGCTGCGCCACCGGCGGTTCGCCTCTTCCGTCAACACCGCGCGACCAAGCATTGAAATGTCAGACACGGTTCCGGGATCGGAAAGCTGCAGCGTGTTTGATAAAGATCTGAAAGCAAAATCATTTCGGTTCGGATCAACCTGATCCCAACCTGACATTCGTCGACATCCTGAGTTTCTTCATGTTTCTTCACTGTCGACTCGCTGAGGTTGACGGAGAAGCTGTGCTGCCTGCAGCATCGCACCTCTTATTGATGGCAGCTGGTCATCTAAAAGTAGATCATGAGACAAATGGTTCAAAGCCCCTTGGCACATCGCTTTCCAGACCTTTCCAGATGCAACAATATCATAATCTCCTGATGTCCTGAAAAATGTATGGCACATCTACCCAGGCTAACATTTCTACTGGAAAGCTCCGGCTATTCTCCCAGTTTGCCTGCTGAGGTAAAGCCGATAGTATTTGTTTTCATACTGAACCAACCGGGTGGCTATCCGATTGAAATGTTCTGTTCCATTACTATGATTTTGTTATTTTGTTGATGCTTTTTCAACTTTATCGGGACAAGTTCGGGTGTGAGGTAGAACCCGCGATTTACTCGTGCTTCTCCAACAATGCCCTGCTAATCTGTGAGCTCTTGAACAACCCTATATTTTCAATCCGTGCTTTACCCGTGCTCGACCCGTCATTTATATAATTTCTACTATCATTTAACCGCGATAACCCATAACAATTGTCACGGGTTTGGAGGTTGGGTTTTGAATGACACTATTCTCAACACCTGAGCAAGAAATTGCCCCGGGTTTTCCAATAAACACCCCAGCCGGGTACTTTAGAGGGACCCTAGGTTTTCTTGATATTGGCTCGAAAGGAGCTGCCGCCTTGTATCTGAATGACAAGTGCCTGCAAGGTTGTCTTTGGGGGCGAGCTATTTCGTTGAGCTTGAGGACCCTTTCAGAATGCGTGGGGTTCAAAGGGTGCTGTGGCTTGTGTCGACAGTGTTCGTCTAGACCTTTCCCATGCTTTTGAGAGGACATCACTTTCGAGCAGCTCTTTGCTTCGCCCGGTCCTTCGGAGGAAGCTGTCCAGGCTGAAGTTCGAATAGAGCCTGAAGGGGGCGAAGGTCTCCAGCTCCGAAGTCGAACCCCCTCTATCCCCTCAGAGTACAAGATCCACGCTCGCTCCAGACGTGCCCGAGTCAAGGCTGCAGACTTTCAGGGAAAACATGGGAAAAGACACAGTTGATCTCAGCTGTTTTTCACCTTTGAGTTCTCTGGGAAGTCTACGGTTAAGCTACCCGCTCACTTGAATGCGATAGAGCATGGGATCCGACAGACAGGTGATGCTGAGTTTTAGAGAACACACTTAGGCGCTGGTCCAGGTTCTAAGATGTTCTGAGCAAGACGATACGTTTTGATTGGAATAGGTTGAATGATCCGAGAGACAGAGGGCATCACAAGGAAACAAAGCGGCCGGGGGTAACCGGGCCGATGCCGCGGTACCCCTCTGTGTGGGCTTCAGCCAATGTCGTCGAAGTGGACAAAAGTAGTAAGCCGCAATCCTTCGGATGAAAAAATCCTGAGCTACTAAGGAGTGGTGGGGGGACCAGGAGCCCGCGGAGCCATACTGCAGCAAAGCCTTACCGAGTGGAAAAGCAAATGCAAGCTGCGCGGGCCTGATGCCTACAGGACCTAGACTCGACCTCACAAGTGCAGAGAATCAGAAGATTAGATATATTGAAGAAGTAAACAAATGGTAGATAGAAATCATATGACAGTTAGGGACGGGAGGTTCTCTGAAGGGTTCAAGTGGTTGTGTTCAGCTTGGATAGTGTATGTTCGCAGGCATCAACTTGCGCGAACAAATTTCAATTATGTTCGCGCATGTTGAGTCTTTGCAAAGGCTCTCAATGATGAGTTGTATGTGAGGCATGTATGCAAACTGCTTGTAATTCTGTGCGAAAGAAGCACGTCCATGTGCTCGAAACCAAATGTCTCGCCATGGAAAAATGACTTGGTGCATTTTACACTGTAAGCAGTGTATTCTGAGGGTGTCAAAAATGAGGTCCGTGGTGAGTCGCGTGCTTTGTGTCTTTTTCACAGCGACCACAACGCCTGTTTGAAACAGTGGGGTGGTGCACTGAGGCCCTTTGCCTTTGAGCGAAAAAGGGCCAGTGGACCAGAACGACTTCTAGACCAGGCCAGTTTGTTGAGTCTATGACCTACCAACAGGCTGCGATGTTCAAATGATCAAATGAAACAGAAGCAGAGTTGATCAATAAATTGGCCCAGCGTAATTGGCCTTTGGAGACTGCTGCTACGAGGATCATGTTATGAAACCGATGACAGTGTCATGAAGCCGACGATCACGTTATGAAACCGATGATGACTCTGAGGCTGATGATAGGTGCTGCCCCATTTCCCCATCCCCCCACTGCCCCACCCCCCACCAGAATTTAGTTACATTGTCGTTGTCGCCCGATGACAATTTTTTGAAACCGATGACACCGATTGCCAATGATCGTATTTATGAAACCGATCGGGGCAGAGTCGGCCGAGAAGTCGATGGTCGAGGATGCCTTCGGGCTCACGGTTGAGGCGTCGTAGCACCGGGGAAAACGGCTTCAGATTTCAGGGCAGCATTTTGTCATTGCGCCAGCGAGTTCTGGCAGCAAATGCCGCACGGAAGGACCAATGGAGGTATCCGTTTTGCAGTACATTGGCCGGGCGGCTTCTCTCTTGACGGGGTTGGCCGAATCGTTGCAGGAGGAGCCCCTTTACCAGAAGTACAGCTTCGTCGCGAGGCCAAACCCTCAATACTTTTCAAGTTGATCTCGAATTTCAATTCCTTCCTGACGGAGTTGCGCGAGCAGCAACCGCAGGTACCGGACTCATTGTGTGGCTTGCGGGAGGCAGGCGTTGTGGTACAGATCGTGAACAGCGATGTTGGTGTCGGCAGCCCCATGGTGCCTTGGCGCGTCGCAGTGTACATATAGCTGGAGATCATGCTGGCTTGGTGAATGGGTGGCAGCTGACCGATAGCTTCCTGGCGTGCGTCGCACGTCCCCAAGGGGGAGGCCCCGTTTCGGTCAAGGTCGAGTACCAAGACCAACCCATCGGAGCACCCACTCCGATCAACAATCTGCAAGTTGAGTCGCCTCCCACCAACCAGCCGCATTGCGTCGCGGCAACAGGCGTTTCCTCAACTCCGCCTGCCGGTGGGAAAAAGCACGAGTTGGAGTTGCAGGGGCTTGCGATGCAATCAAGAGCCTATGGCGACCTTTGGGGCGCCCTCGGGCCAAACCAGTGCCATAGGCACGATCGAGAAGGCAAGGGAAACCAAAATGGACAACAACATAGCATAAACAGTGACGCGGTCGTTTGGCGCAACCCAGTGGTCTTCCCTTCGGACATTGCTACTTGGGACGCCATCCCTCTTCCCAAAGATGCCCGCCACATGCCCCGGAACGATGTTATGTGTATTATGACGGGCGCTGGCATCTTAGACCTGGGGGATGGAGACCTAGATGGTGACAAGGCCGTGGTCACCGCGGACATATCTTGTTGTGGCAAACGTCATGCTTTTCAACAAGTGTGGCGGCTCCTGCTAGTTTACATACATATATAGAAATCTTTGCAGTTGCTTCTAGCCTTCCTTGACGCAGATCGGTTCCTCGTCGACTTCGTCGGTCAAACGCCAGACGGCGCTGACTCTGTCTAGATACGATTTCTCTTTGGACAAACGTTGGCCCCATATTTTAGCGTTGGTTCCCCGGTTCCAGGTACAGTCTGTTAAAACCGATAAAATAAATACAAGTCGAAAACAAAAATACGACTGGAACATACAAATTCGCCAGTTGTATTTTTACAAAAGCACCTTTGACTTGTATTTTTCTATATATTGCCACTTAAGTACGCATTGATATGGGTGGGACACCGCAAGTTCGCCAACAAGTCCAAAGTACTGCGCCTGCCACAAAATTTGTACATCTCAGCCCCGATCTCCTGCACCTGTCACGAAAAGCCGACTTTGGACCACAAAGTGCGAGGTTTCCCTTGCGCCTGCCACAAAAAAGGATCACCAAGTCCAAAAATGCGCCCGGCGCCAACGAGAGCGCGCCTCCGTCAAGCGCATCCCGGGGCCAGCGTTTCGCGCGAATCTGCGCAGAGAAATTGCACTTGGAAATCTCAGAATTGAACTTTTCTGCAACGCTGCGCAGCCAAAACGCTGAGCCCAGAGAGTGTGCCCTGATCGAACCCGCGCTTTTTCACCTATCAGTTCAAGTTTAAAATACGAAGAATTGTTTTTCGTTATTGTTCAAAAATAATTCAAAAAACGAAAAGTACAGCCGCCCAAAAAGCGCAACAAAATCTGATCCGCAAAAAACACAAATTCGATCTGCGCAACCAAACGAAAATGGAACGAAAAATACGACCCACACAAATACAAACAAAGACAAAATTTGCCGAAACTGGCTGCAAAACCAAACTTTGCAAACTTTTGCGTCGATGAGGGTGCTTGCTGATTTTGCGGCCGGATTGCCTAGCTTTTATTTTGCCACAATGCAAAAAGGCAGCAAATTAGCGAACATGTTGTTTAAACGCGTAAAAGGACAATGTGATTCAAAATGCAATTGCCTTTGGCTATTTGCGTTGTGGCCCTCATTTGAGTATGTTGTTTGGGAGCCAGGGCCAGTTAGCGCGTAGAACCATGCAAAAAAGTTGTGTTTCAGGGTGTCGTGTTTTTTTGTTTTTTTGGTTTTTGGTTTTTAATATTTTGGGGGTTCTTAGCCTTTACCCAACCTGAAAGCCGGGGATTCAATTTTAGCGCTGCCCCAAGGGCATTTTCAAAGTGGGGTGCGTCCTTCGTGTTTCAAACCAACCTACACATTCCGACAGGAGGTAAAGCAAGCTCTGCCTGATCGGCCGCAGACACCTTGTGCCAGCGCCTCCGATGTTCACGTTTTCTCGTTCCAGGTGCCAACCCTGCAACTCTGTCCAGAGACTTGCATACTGCAAGAACAGGGCAGTGTTGACCTTGAAATTTTTATTTTTGGCCCACGGGTGTCATCGAGCCTTGGACGCACCGAAGAAGGTGTGCCCGAATCAGGTTCAGGATGTGCCGAAGGCACCCAATTGGGTTTCGAAGCAACTCGGCCCCCTAAAACTACCAGAGCGCGAGAGAATCATTTCAACCGAATTCGACCTGTCAAAGCTCGAGCTCCATAATCCAATGAAGTGTGGCCGCCACTAATCAAAAACTACTGCGCAATACAATGTAAGACAATGTGCGACTGCTGGTACAAACCAAATTGTATAGGCGCAAACAACTTGGAAGGCAAAAGGCCCATTTCAACCTCTTTGTGTTTGCCATCAACTCGGCAACGTGTAGCAAAACCCTTACTGCTGGTTGGCCCTTTGTAAGATCATGGTTCAGCCCGACTCAATATATGCAGCAAGTCTGAGTGACAACCTAAGGGTAACAAGAAGAAGGAAGAAGGAGAAGGAGGAGGAGGAGGAGAAGAAGAAGAAGAACAAGAACAAGACCACGGACCAGGACGAGGACGAGGACGAGGAGGACGACGAGGAGGATGACGAGGAGGAGGAGGAGGAGGACGACGACGACGGCAACTAGAGCAACAAGACCAAGACCGCAACAACCAGAAACACACAAAATAGAAAATGGTAGCTCACTGCCATATAAGAAACACATATAGGGCCAAGTGACCATCTTTTGCGCAAACCAGCGCCGCTATGGTCACTGCAAAATCCGATTGCGAAACAAAGCAGTCCGAAAAGACATTTGATGAGACCGAAAACACGGATGACCCAACCGCATCCAGTCATCCGGCTACCCCAAAACTTGGGGCGCAGGCCAGGGGCGAGATCGCACGCGGTCGATCATATATGTTGTGATACCGATGATCATGTGTGCTGTGATGCCGATGATAATGCTATGAAGATGATACCTTCTCGGAGAACCCGCCGTTCCTATGAAGTCATCGTGTTTCATCGCAGTTGCGCGCACAAACATCGACTGAAGAAAGAAACCGAAACTTACAAAGCACGAACCCACTTCAGTCCTTGCATCAGGACTTTGGAACTTCGCAAGCTTCAGTATGGGCCCAGCTTCGCCACCATTGTGTCCTGGTCTTCGTTTGAAGGCCCTGCCTATTTGCGACTTGATGGGCTTCTGCCCTTTCTCCTTTTGAAATACTTGATCCTGTCAAGCCGAAACGCGCAGGACATGCGATGGCGCACTTGAGCTTGTCTTCTGCTGAAGCATGGGAATACTCCATTGGCTTGTTACACCCTGGGATTCTGGACGGTGCCTTTCAGCTTTTGGTGTTGACCCACAGCACCTTGCATCAAGAGGTACCAGAGACGGACACTCTCTTGCCTTTCAGTGTTGCCAACTGCGTCCTTGGGTCCCCAGCGGAGCTGACAGGAGATTGCTGGGCCACAGTACATGTCCAACGCCATGCACAGGATTTCGTGACGGGAATTGTTGAGGTCTCCAAGGATGGCTTGCTCATCGCACGCCTCACTGGAGCAACCATGCGCTGTCGAAAAACCAGGGTGCCAGTGGCGAAGCAAGAAGCGAATCCTATCGACGTGACTTTTGAGCTTTCATGGGATCCCTGGACACCACAGTCCTCTGATCAAGGGCTGCTTCGGCCGAAGGCACTTCTATGCTGCTCTGAGGAGAACGCGGGATGGTTGCGACGATCGCTATTGTGGGACTCTGAATGTTGTCATCAGGTTGCTGATTTGAGCACGATTGGTGAGAGATTGCGTTGCTTGGAGGCAAATGATGTGAACGTATGCAGGATGTAGCCGACGTAGTCCAAGCAGCAACGTAGCGTGTAACACAAGTCACTTGGTGCTGCGAGGTGCTGAAGAGTTTGACAAGCTGGCTTTTCTAGCAGAAGACGATCCCATGGAATCGCTGGTAAAGGCCCTGACATTCTTGCAAGTCGTACACCAAGGGTTGCAAGAAGGTGCAACGCGAGTTGAACGTCTCACCGTGCTTCTGGTGACCCAATGCACTCAGCCGCCTCAATTGGACCTGAGACTTGGCCAACTGAAGAGCCGTAGAATGGGATCCAAAGGCAAGGTCACAGGCAAAGAGAAAACAAATTCACTTCCGGCAGCCGGCTGTTTTCTGAGGAAAACTTATGATCCCCGTCACGCAGGGCTTTGGGGTCTCGCTCGATCAGCACGCTTGGAGTGTGATTTCCGAGTGGTCCTTCTGGATTTAACATGTGTAGCTCAGATGAGCTGGAGCTTTCGTTTCCGCAGAATGCAAGTCGTACAGATTGACATAGACGGTCAATTTCAATCTGAAGTGACCTGATGTGACTACACGACCAAGGAGTACCAATCAGACGACGCACAATTATCATCCAAAGTGTTCAACGAAGAAGAGGCCCACAATTGAACGTGCGTTGAGGGTTGTTCTTTCATCCCTACGGCGGCCCTCCAGCTGCCCTGGGCCGCTGCTTTTGACGTGTGTCTGACCTGTTCAGGAGGCTTGCATGCGTGAGAAGGTTCAGTACGTCTCAAGGCACATCGACGAACCCAGCTTTCTTTGTTTCTAATGGCAATGGCCTCCAACCTAATAGCACTGGCCTCCAACCTAGTAGCAATGGCCTCCAACCTAATAGCAATGGCCCCCAACCTAGTAGCAATGGCCTCCAGCCTAATAGTCATGGCCTCCAACCTAATAGCGATGGCCTCCAACCTAATAGCAATGGCCTCCAACCTAATACCAATGGCCTCCAACCTACCAGCAATGGCCTCCAATCTAATAGCAATGGCCTCCGACCTAATAGCGATGGCCTCGGACCTAATAGCAATGGCCTCCAACCTAAGAGTGGCGGCCTTCATTCTGCTTCTTTTTTTGACAACTTTCCTCAGCACCCGACTTATATATATATAGTATTGACCAACAGCCAGGCTGCGCCGAAGTGAATTACAGCCTACCTGGCCAATTCAGCAGCGCACTCAAAAACTAGACAACTGGGGAAATGAGAGACTAAGGATTAGTACATCTTCGTAGTTAGCAGGCTTACTGAGAGAAGTGAGAGTAGCTCAATTATGGTCAATCGTTTGGAGCTAATGCTAATGCTTAATTGCAATGGACAGCTTGGACAGCTTGCAAGCGTGACGTGGCCCATCGCGGCCCTTCAGGATGAGCCTGCCAAGTCGCGGAAGTCTTTCAGCCTTGACTGCGGAACCACAAGCTCGGAATTACCGCAGTCCGTCCCACCCAGCACCCGCACCTTTGCTGCGCCTCTCGGGCGCACTTTGTTGGTGGTGCGAGTGAAGTTCATGAGGACATATGAGGACTCACCAAGTTCCAAGAAGCCTCAGGTGTTGCAGCGGTGGGATTAAACTTCAGGGATGTCCTCAATGTCATGGGGCTGTATCCGGGTGATCCAGGCAGAACTCGAGTGCCTATCCTGAAACGTCAAGGTGAAGGTTGATTATTGTTATTTGTTGTTTTCTTGTTTCTGAAACATTCTTGAATCATCTAGAAGCTAGCACGGCTTGTTTGCAGGCGATCCTGGTCTTGACTGTAGCGGCATCGTTGCTCAATCTGATGACCGGCTGCCATTCGACCTTGGAGAGTCGGTTTTCGGCATCTCTTTCGGCTGTTTGCGAAGCTATGCGGACATCAAGGACGAAGCCTCGGCAGCGCCTGTCCCCCAGTTCCACCATGTTCCACCCATCCTCGGTTGCCCGTGACAATGGCCACTCCTTCCGACAGGAGCCCAAGCTCTTGGCCAAGCGGCCATTGAAGTGGTCTTTCACAGATGCGGCAGCATTGCCGACGGTCTTCGCGACGGTCGACGAAGCATTTCGAGATGCAGATCTGAAGGTGCGAGTGTTTGCAGCTGCCATTTGTATTTCCAAGGAAGAGCTTATAGACCTTTATAAACACTCATGAACAATTACAGTAAGTGTCTGAATGTGTGTGGATTCTGTTCGGTAAGTTTCTTTGAAGAGTGAAACTTTGTTTCATTTTGTTTCCCTGATTCATTGTTTGAGAACCTTTTTGAGGCCGGGCAGCGAGTGTTGGTGCATGCAGGAGCAGGCACCAGCTTTAACCAGCTCGATTTCCGAGTAGTCGCGAAATCCAGTCAAAGTAGTCCTTCCTCTTTTGATCAGGCGGGGTCGGCTTGACTGCTGTGCAATATGCTCTTCAACTTGGAGCTTTGGTTTATGCCACTGCAGGGCGTCAGGACGTTGACAGATTGCCTTGGTCTGTCTTATGCTGATCACATTGATACAGCCATGTGAGGAGAAGAAGCAGCATTTGCTGCAGATGGGTGTGAAGTTCGTGCCGCACTTACTCTTGCAGTCTTGTAAAAAAGATGCGCATGTGGAAGGGTTTCTTGCCAGGTGGCCAATTCGCGGGACGGCAAGATGTTTGAAGAAGAGCTCTGCAGCGAACTGGCAAACGGAGAGAAGATGGACGTTGTGCTCAATTCCCTGAGAGCCTCAGCTCCAACAGGACAACAGACTCCAAAGCTGTTCTGCTCCTGTTGAATCAATCATGAATCATAGCGCTGAAATCATGGCAGCTAAGGTCATGATAACTTTATTGGACGCTCCTTAGCCTTCCTTCGCGAGGGTGGCACTTTTGTGGAGATTGGAAAGCGGGGTATTTGGACGCAGGAGCAGATGCAGCAGCAACGACCGGACATTGTATACAAGGTACTGGCGATGGACACAATTTGTGAGCAAGAGCCAGATCGCTTCAACTCCTTGATGGTACGGCTTGTGAAGAGGCGTGTTTTTTTGTTTTTTTACGTCTCACTTGGTCCTTTGGTGTCCTTGGTAACTTGGTCCTCTAGAAAGTGTATGTAATCACTTTCCCTGTGTTTGCACAAAGTTGGGTGTAGTTATCCCAAGTAGTAAGCCACGTTGCTCATTGCAGGATGGAGACGGATTGGACAGCCTTACACTGCCAAGTCTTCGAAGGTTTGTCTCAATGCTCGGAAGCACTCCAAGTTCTCCGAAAAGCAGAGAAAATTGGAAAGCTCGTCATTTCCGTTCCCCCTTTGGTACATGATGGAACGTATGTCCTGAGCGGCGGAACTGGTGCGCTTGGGCTCTTCGTTGGACGAGCTTTGGTGGAAGAAGGTGCACAGGTGGCTTGCCTAAAGCCGTTACATGGCTATGTCGGGCCAAGTCTCTTTATTGGCAACAGACTTACTAACCGACATTAACTGACCAGATGACAACATGATCCCACTATTCCTAGGATCTGGTCCTGATCTCACGAAGTGGCGGAAAGGAGCTGGAACTTCAGAGGTCCGCAGCCAAAGTTCAAATCTGGCAATGCCACTCGTATGAATGAGACCTTAGTTGGCTCGGAACTGTGACACAGGGCAATTGCAATGACATGTTGCCTCAGCCGCATTCTTTCATCCAAGGTGACCTGGCTTCGAATGAAGCGGTTGATGTCTTGAAAGCACAGCTGGAGCGTGCACATAGCACACAAGCCATCAATGGAGTCTTTCACTTGGCTGGGCTTCTGCAAGATGGCATGCTTGGCCGTTTGGGACGAGCTGACCTGGAAGCAGTCTTTGGCCCGAAGGTCTATGGACTGAAGGTCTTGAAACACGTCAGCCCCTGAGCAGTATCTTGTTGTTGTGCCAATTGATACATCCCTACGCACCTGTACAAGTTCCTCAAGCGCCAAAATCACTCATCAAACGATTTGAAGCGCAATGATTACCTTCTGTTGAAACGTGACAATAAATTTGTGTTTGTGGAGTGCAACTTGCCCAAGGTGTTTGGTGAGAAGTTGGACTTTCTTTTGAGTTTCTCTTCCACAGCCTCCATTTTTGGAGCTGCTGGGCAGGGGAACTATGCAGCAGCTAATGCATGCATGGATGCTTGGATGTACAAATGGCGCAGGAGGCTCAGCTTGTGTTTCTTCATCAGAAAAGCACAAAAGCACAGTATAATGTACTATAACGCCTGGGAAACGACATCTACTTTGAACATCTTTGAACAGACTCTATTGATCTCTATTGAATGTTATGGCACTCAAAACGAGATAGTTAATTAGACTTCAAACAGCTTGAGAGGTGAAGGCGCCCGATGAGATGATGCCATAAGCGTTTTGAACACGTTTGAAACTTGATCAAAGGGTATAAATAAACGTGCACTTGCAAGGTCTTGAAGGTCTCAATGCGACAAGTCTTCAGTGGGGCGCGTGGATGGACATCGGCATGGCAGCGCAGCACGGCAGTTTCAAACACCTCTCACAGCAGGGAATCTCTAGGGACTTAGGCCGGTCGGGTGAGGAAGTGAGGAATTGGCATGTTCTACTCGCCCAGGAACAACAACAAGCGTTGTTTGAATACAGACATGTTAGGATTCATGGAATTCTGCCCTCAGGCATGGCTATGATAGTATCCGTGCTTCGAACGGGATGCTCTTTTAGCTCTCTCAGCTGCGCAAAAGTGGATTGGAATGCTTTCCTCAAGCCAGTGGGCTTTTGGCCTCCAAAATGCTTCTCCTACATGCATGTGGAAAAGGACAATGGACAGAGAAGCCTTGAACAAACAATGGATGGGCAATTCAAAGCTGTCCAGACATTGGAATGGGTTGTATCTGTGGCATTTGATGTCATCGGCGAGTTGGAAGCAGACGATCCATTGATGTCTGCTGGCATGGATTCACTATCCGCTGTGGAGTTTCGTCGTCGGCTTTCATCTGAGAGGGACATCAACTTGCCAAGTACTTTGGCCTTCGACTACCCAACAGCTCGAGCGATTGCTGGATTTGTGGACTTGCAGAGCAAGCCGATCCAAGGTACTCAAAGTGCCTTCGAGCCTTCCACGGTTCAAAGCATCTACTTCACTGGCACAGCTTGCCGATTTCCTGGAAGCACAGCAAGCTCACCCCAACAAGCTTGGGAACATGTCTTCAAGATGCAACTTGATGCAGTGGCCGAGATCCCATTGCAACGCTTCGATGTCAACGAGTTCTTTGACAGCACAGGATCAGGTGTTGGATTTGTCACGTATGCTAGGCACGCGAGTTTCATTGACGGAGTTGACCTCTTCGACAACCGATTCTTTGGAATTTCCAGCAATGAAGCAGCTGCCATTGACCCGCAGCAACGTCACAGTTTGGAGGTCGCATATGCTGCGTGTCACGCTGCGGGTCGATCTCGAAAGCAACTGATGAAGACGTCGACGGGAGTCTTCGTCGGGCAATGTGCGAACGACTGGGGTAAGACCTCCAAGGAGCGAAAGGCAGGGACCTTCATGGGTCCTGGAACCCACGCTGCTCTGCTTGAACAGAAGGTTTGAGAAGGTTTGATCTTTCAATTTTTCTCCAAACAGTTTGCTGTTAGGGGTTCTCAATTCTTTCTTAAGATGTGTCCGCCCTTTGTGTCACTGCTGGTGTCCGCCCTTTTCCGCTGGCCATGTAGCATTTCTGTTCATTTGTCTCCGAGGTCTGTCACTGCTGGTGTCCGCCCTTTCCGCTGGCGATGCAACATTTCTACTCATTCCACAAACAGTTTGCCGTTACGTAGGGTTTCTCAATTCTTTCTTAAGATGTGTCCGCCCTTTGTGTCACTGCTGGTGTCCGCCCATTCCGCGCCTGCACTGCTGGTGTCCGCCCTTTCCACTGGCCATGAAGCATTTCAATTCATTTGTTTCCCATGTAGTTTCTGTACTTCCCCAAACAGGTTACTGTTAGGGTTTCTAAATGCTTTCTAAGAGTGTCCGCCTTGCTGCCGGACAGCGTGTCTGCCTTCCGTCCGGCTTGTCTCTGTTGGTCTCCCTTCTTGTTGGTCACTGTGTCCCTCTTCTTGTTGGTCACTGTGTCCGCCTTGTCTCCCTTCTGTTTCCTTTGTCTCCCTTCTTGTCTCCCTTCTTGTTGGTCACTGTGTCCGCCTTGTCTCCCTTCATTCTTTCTTTGTCTCCGGTTTTGTCTCCCTTCTTGTGGGTCATTGTGTCCGTCTTGTCTCCCCTCTGTTGCCTTTTGTCTCCCTTCTTGTCTCCCTTCTTTTTTATCATTGTGTCCGTCTTGTCTCCCTTCTGTTATCTGTTGTCTCCTTTTTGTCTCCCTCTTGTTGGTCATTGTGTCCGCCTCGTCCCTTCTGTGGGTCACTGTGTCCGCCTTGTCTCCCTTCTCTTTCCTGTCATTGTGTCCGCCTTGTCTTTGTCTGCCTTCTTGTCTCCCTTCACTGTGTCCGCATGTCTTCCTTCTGTCCCCCTTGTTGTTGGTCACTGTGTCCGTCTTGTCTCCCTTCTGTTTCCTTTTGTCTCCCTTCTTGTTTCCCTTTTGGCTGGTCATTGTGTCCGCCTTGTCTTTGTCTGCCTTCTTGTCTCCCTTCACTGTGTCCGCATGTCTTCCTTCTGTCCCCCTTCTTGTTGGTCATTGTGTCCGCCTTGTCTCTGCGTTGTCTCCCTTCTGTCTCCCTTTGTCTCCGGTCTTGTCTCCCTTCTTGTTGGGCACTGTGTCCGTCTTGTCTCCCTTCTGTTTCCTTTTGTCTCCCTTCTTGTCTCCCTTGTTGTCCCCCTTCTTGTTAGTCATTGTGTCCGCCTTCTCTTCCTTTTTTCCTTTGCATGTGCCTCCTCTCTCCCCCTCTCGCTTGCAACCCTTCACATTTGTCTCCCAGCTGCTCTGCCCTGCAATCCTTTACACTTTACATTTGTCTCCCAGCTCTGCACTGCGTGTCGCTTGCAATCCTTTACATTTGTCTCCCAGCTCTGGACTGCTGTGTCCGCCTCTGCCTTGCAATCCTTTACATTTGTCTCCCAGCTCTGGGCTGCTGTGTCCGCCTCTGCCTTGCAATCCTTTACATTTGTCTCCCAGCGCTGGGCTGCTGTGTCCGCCTCTGCCTTGCAATCCTTTACATGTGTCCTCGCAAGCCTTTGCATTTGTCTCGCAGCTCTAGACTGCTGTATCCGCCTCTGCCTTGCAATCCTTTATTTGTCACCCAGCTCTGGGCTGCATGTCGCTTGCAATCCTTTACATTTGTCTCCCTGCTGTGGCCGCCTCTGCCTTGCAATCCTTTGTCTCCCAGCTCTGGACGTCGCAAGCTCTAGTTGCAGAGTGTTCCGATTTTGAAAAACACAAACTGTTTGGGGTCTACGGTGGTGTAATTTTTGAGGTAGGTGTAGTAGGCCGTGCATGGCCGTGCCTAGGTCCTTAAGCAACACCCAGGAAGAAACTAGCGTAGCTTAAGGGTTAAGCAGCTAGTCGAAAAAGATGCAACATGATGCAATAGAGCGAGAGTTCCTAGATCTCCAGGAAAACAGCGAAACAAGATGAAACAAGTCCTTCTACTTGGCCTTGGCAGCACTTTTCATGGCAACTTGAAGTCACGCCTAGGCCAGCATCTCCGCGAATCGCATCTCGTTCTGCCTTGGGCTTGAGGGTGTTAGTGCAACAGTGGATACGGCGTGCTCTTCAACCCTGGTTGCCTTGGATTTATCTTTGCAGCGTTTGGACCACCTGGATGCTGTCATTTGCAGTGGAGGTCAGATCAATTTGATCGCCGACTCTTGTCTGTGTGAACATCTTGGGCAGTGGATCAAGATGTTCTGTCATGGCCACACATGTTTCTTTGGAAAAACTGTTTCATGGCGACACATGGCCATCACCAAGGAACCTTTTGTCGCCTTCTCGAATGGGCGACTTCTCTCTGCAAGTGGTCGCTGTAGAACCTTCGATGCTTCGGCAGATGGCCGCTTTGACCGAAGGTTTTGGGGCAACGGGAGCCCAACAGACTGGAACCAAGGTGGCTTGATGATTACAGGCCCTGAGATGTCCAGAGGGCTCCCAACATATGCTGAATGTTTGCATCGTTCCATAGCCTCCAGCCTTCTTAAGGGTTGGCATTTGTTCACCGAGTTTTTCGCCAAGGATTCACAAGAGGTGAAGGCTTTGGAGCCTTTTTTTTTGACCAAGGCAAGGAATTTCAACATTGTCAATCCTTCTAGATCCTTCTAGCAATCTTGGTTCTGATAGGTTCTGTCACCTGTTAATGCAGGATGGGCCGAGTGTAGTGGCCCCAGCTGGCTCCATGGCAAATCAGGACTCAGTCATTGCAGCCAACCACGAACAAGCTCAAGTGCCTTCACACTGTGACCTTTGATCGTTTGAAGGATGGGCGCAGCTCCTCCTTGACCGCTCCAAATGGACCTGCGCAGCAGCGAGCGATCACAGGGGCCTTGAAGCTGGCAGGTGAGGTCGACCAACCAAGAAAGATAAGCCAAGTGGATTGAAGTGAGATGAAGGGATCGAGATTGATTGAGTGCTTGTGGAAAGACAAGCATGGCTGGTCAATGGGCTTTCCAAGAATTTCCCCAAGCCCGTCCCCACTTCTGGGGGTTGAGAGATGCTCAGAGGCGCAGCTGGTACAGACATTGCAGCGGTGTGGCTGGCATGTCGCATGATGAGTGGTGTGAAGGGTGTGATGTGTCAGTGTAGCATGTGTAGCACATCATGTGTTCAAATACATAGTTACATAATCAATGAATATCAATGATTCCATGCTATTCCATGGCAGGTCGAGTGTCATGGTACTGGAACTGCACTGGGGGATCCCATTGAGGCAGGCCGACAGACCGATGAATATTTGATTCTTCGGATACTTGGGATATTGGATACTGCTCCAGTGTTGACTTTGGATATTTAACTCAGGAGATTGAGCGAACTCTGAAAGTTCCAGATTTGGTGCATGAGGTCCTTGACGGTAGACAGACCAGCCCAAGCTTGAGGTCGGGGCGTTGCGAGGAACTCTTCGTGAAAACCGGCGAGATGAATTGGCACTGATGGCCGGCAAGACCAATGTGGGCAAGCCCAGGCTTTGCCGAAGACGTCTTCACATTGACGCCGTGCAGCGGATGTTGTGATGGGAATGGCCACGTGTGTCACATGTGGAGTTGTGTAGACTCTGATGGCGAGACAATGATACTGCTCTGTGTTGCAGGTTGAAGAGGATTCTTTGTCACATCTCGAAGTATTTCAATCATTTGGATTCCTCAGAGTATTGATTCCTGGTGTTTCAAACCGAGAAAAAAGGCGATTCAAAAAGACTGAGGTTGGGCATTTGGAAGGGGCAGCTGGTGCTTTGGGTTTGGTGAAGTTGAGGCCTCAGGAGAAGAAGTGAAGTCTTTCTCTTGATGCGTCGCATTTTGTCGCTTCCCGGTCTCTCGAGGTGCATCAAGACATTGGAGCATGTTGAGGCTCCAAGATTCGCCATGGGATCTCTCAAGATTCCAGGTAGACGCTATTTGTTTTGCTGAAAACCATAGTTTGCCCAACAAGGTTTGTGCTTTCAAGGTGATTCTTTTGAGGTAGGCGAAGAGAATGATTTGTGGATGCGCAGCGTGCAACACAGGGCTGTTAGATAGGTCTTCAATTTCACCTGTATTGGCGAGCCAGACACAGCCGGGCCCAATCTAATAAGCCGAGATAGAAACAGGCTGAAAGCCCACTCATTCAGCAATCCAAATATGCATGAGAAGCATTGAGAAGCTACTAGGGGCTCCTAGCATCGCTACTAGGAGCAAGGACGCTACTTGGGGCTCCTGGCCTTACTACAAGGCTTTAAGGAACAATAAGCTACTACTAGGTAGGGGCAGCTGAGAAGAACTTTGCACCTCCATGCACCTCCGAATGTGACAGGTTTGTCTTTGTTGCCCCTTGCACTCCGGGGAAGCGGCGAGTCCTTTGTTTTGCTTGCATTCGTCGGAAATCCAGGTGCCGCCCAATGTGCACCTCGAAAAGCTGAACCCCCACATTGACCTGAAGGACCGTGCACGCTCGCTCGCGGTATTTGACGCGTTGAAGTCTCGTGCGTGGTCTTATGACGAGAATCGACAAAGCAAACCAAGTTCCTGGCAGGACTTTCTGGCAACGGTGCCTTGTTCCTCCAAGCCATTGACTGCTGCCTCAGCACCTAAGGCCTCGTGACCTGAATGGGCTGAGCATTCATCATGGCTGAGCTATTGACCTGGGATTTGACTCAGCTGGACGTGTTGCGCAGGTTGGTTTGTCCTCTTTCGGCTTTGGTGGTACCAATGCCCATGCCATCCTAGGGGTTCAAGAATCAAGTGAGAGGCAGGATGCATGGTGAGTGGCAGGCAAACTCTGCATCGTTGGATGCTCTGGAATTTCCTGGAACTAATTTGATTGAAGGTGATCACAATGTTGAAATTTCATCAGGATGCTGCAAGATTTACATGGAAAGGATCACCGGCCCTGCCCGTTTCTTCGTGTGTTTCGAGGACCAACAGAGCGGAAGAACTGCCAGAACTGAATTTCCGCAGTGTTTCTTTCCCGTGCCTGGCAACAGTTTGGGCCCCAGCAGGTAGTGGCGCGATTCGTGTGTTTGGCACGCGGAGATGGGAAACATATGGTTCATTTCCGAGTTTGTATCGAAATAATATGGATCTGTTTCCGTCTCATTCTTTTTGCAACTTTGCCGATGCCAAAGGCCATGTGGCAAGGAGAGCAATTGGAGGTTTCCATTGAAACATAATTATGATGTGGCGAGGTGCCCCGTCTTCTTTGTCTCTGCCGCAGCGGCCAGGAGAAAACATTCGAGGCACTAGGAGTAGGTCTAATGTTTGCGTGGAACAAGTGCATCGCTACTAGGAACAAGTGCATCGCTTCTAGTAACAAGTGCCTTACTAGTAGTAACACATAGCTATTAGAAACAAGTGCCTTACTACTAGTAACAATAAGAATTACAATTCTAATTAAATTCTTATTGTTACTAGTAGTAAGGCACTTGTTTCTAATAGCGAACATTGTTACTACTAGTAAGGCACCTGTTACTAGTAGAGTGGCACTTTACTAGTAGGCACTATTCAAGTCTCAGAATGTCTCAGAGTCGCATCATGCAGGTGCAACTCGACCTTGATCTGGCGAAGTTCAGCCGGACGGTTTGGGCCCGAAACATGCGTTCAGCCTGTCACCTTTTTATGCGACCTTCACCTCCCAAGAATTGCGAATCCAAAGCGGAAAGCAGATGTGAAGGTCCATGACAAGATACTGGTATCCTCGTCGCTGTTTTTGGCCCTTGTCCACTCCTCAGTCTTCTGCCACCTTTGCATGGGAGTAACTTGGTGCATCCTGATTGAGCGTTGCCGTTGGCGTAGGATACCTACAACCTCAGGCCATAGAGGGGTGCCAGCGCATCAAGCAACAGGCAGGGGCCTTGAGATTCCTGTTGTTTCCATGTCTCCCTGGCAGCCGTGGCACAAGCTCCTTTGTCTCTAAAGTCAGAGACAGTACGCAGGCAGCACAGCTGAAAGGAGTGAGAATCACCGCCGGCATCTTACTTTGTCACCGGTGGATTCGCCAACCTGTTTCGAAGCTGACTTTGCCGAGGCACCACTTATTTTGCCTCCTGAATACGATGGTCACAGCCTGACGGCTGTGTTGTGGGTTTTTGAGTTCGCAAAACCGATATTGTTGTGAGCTGCAGGCCACATCTGGCTGCGATTGTCCATCAGCGAGTCTCTTGGTTGCAGTGTGGGGTCAGGATGTGGTGATGCCCTTTCTGGATTGCACAAAACACAGATTGAGTTCTTCAGAGAAACGGCGGTCATTGAAGCGCTTCATATAGTACTTCAAGGATTTCTCCGTGATGCTTTGACTTTCGATCTGGCCTAGGCAACAGTTTGAAGTTTGCAGCAGGCATCGTTATTCTCAGAAGGTCAAGGACTCGTCGCCGCGCAATGAGTTCAGATGTGACTGCCTTGACATGAACTTTGCGCGAAACATCTATTCTGTTGCGAAGAGAAACTGTAAGCTTCATGCTTTGTGAACCATTGTGAACCAGCTCTCCATGTTCCCCAGCTCTCCATGTTTCACACGTTTCACACGTTTCTCCATATCGAAGAGAACCTCAAACCTTGGATTTTCAACTCCTGAGGCTTGGCTGGTGCATTGTGTTGGTCGCTTCAGCGTGCAGGCGCAGACCAATCCACTGGGCAGTTGTGGTGTTTCCCGCTGTTTTTTGAGACCTTCCAGGCTGCCACACGGCCGTCCAACTCTCAAGTTGACGGATTTGGCTTCTTTCGTGTTCTTTACTCTTTGTTGCTGCGTCGTTCGCCTTTGCTGCGTCGTTCTTTCCATTGTGTTTCTTGTCTTTGCTCACCAAGACAGGCGTTCCAAGTGGTCTCGGCGAAGGGAATGAATCTCCTACCTCCCAAACTTGTCTATTATTTATTAGTAGGCTTTCGTTGCCTCGCAGGAAGACTTGGGGATACAATGAAGCGATGAACGGGTGAATGGGGTTGTGTCGTGACGTATAGAGCCGTGAACGATCACCTATCGGATATCGGATCATACCAGTGCTACCCTCCCGTTCTGTTTCAATCTTGTCTTTAGAGCCCCGACATGATGCCTTTCGCCATTTGGGGCCGCTTCGCATAAAGGCCCACTCCCAGCCCCACCTCTTTTCCCGCTGCCAACTCATCGCTGGAAATGGGAGAATCCAGGCCAGCAGGAACGCTGAATAGCTTGAGCATCCTGGGATCTTCAGGCCTGCGACAGAGGCTGGGCATGGCTGGGCTACAGGGAATTGACGAAACTTGCATCATTGAATCTTGAACCTCACAGGCCAGCCCCACAACGAGGAAGCGAAAGCTTTGAGGCCGTGAAACTGCTTGGGCCATTGGGTTAACCAGATTCGCTGCAGGCGTTGTGCCGATCAGCTGAGCCTGTCGACGACTCGTTTGAGGAATGGTGTGCGGAACGCAGTCGATGGGTCGATGTTTGCTGAGCACAAACTGCGTGGTAGGAATTGAAGAGAAAGGCAACGGAGCAGGGTTTGCAGCTCTGTCCCACCCTAAACACAACACCTTGTGCAATAGAGCTGGTGACGCAACATATTTCGTTCTTTTTCCATGCCTCTCAGGCGACGACAGCGTCGCGTTGCTGAGTGACGTTCACGTTGGCAAGGGAGAGATTTGTGCACGCAGAGACCTTAGGTGACAAAAGGAATTGAGCACACCCGCATGAGGGCTACCTTGTTCGTATATCAGAGGTTTCTTGAGGGTCACTTCTTCAGGGGCACCTTGGATCATTTTTCGAGTAAACATGAACAAACTTGTTTCCAAAGTGGCGGCTCTAAGCTTGCATTGCTATTGTGCTGGTGTGCAAAAGGCCTTCTCTTTTAAAGGAGCTAAGCTGCCAACTTCTGATGTATGTCATCAGATGACTGTTTACCTTCAACTCTTTCTTTATTAAAGTTGATGTGTTTTGATATCTACGGTTTCATGGACTCCAACAAATTGAACCATTTCTGCACCACAGCCCCTGGCTGCTAGCATTGTTTGATGTATTGAAGCAAAAGGGCTTCCCGGACATGTTTGACCTGACTGTTTTTCTTGACCCAATTTGTTGTTCAGACATAAGACGCCTAAAGGCTGCAAAATAACAACATGGGCACATATTGTCAGACTTCTGCTGTGACGATACTTGTGTGACAGGATGATAATGTTCTTGTATCCACCACACTGTTCCAAGAACGATGTCAAAGCAGCAAGAAGACCCTCGGCCATGACTCGATGACAACCGTTAGTGGTGTTATTGATGGAAGAGAAGGCAGTAGTTGGTGGGGCAATGTTGCGACAAGTGTGATGCAACTCTGAGTTCCAACTGGTATATTTGTCGACGGCAATGTGTCAATGATGAATGAAGCACATGTGATCAAATTGGATCAGACTGCCAAACATTGAGGTGTGAAAGTCCCTGCAGATGTCGCTGCCTTCACGGTGTGGGTCTCCAGGGATGGAAAGATGAAAGTCAAGCTTCCCTAAAAATCTAGGAACCAAATGAATCAGCGTCCTGTACCTACTAGCTACCTCTCTCTCGCCTACTTAATACGGAGGCGGGGGAGCGGGTAAAAACAAAAATGAAGTGGAACCGACTGGAAGTGAGGCACATCCGGCGCTTTTGGATGTCTTGCAGACCGCTGTGTGACGCTCACCGATCAGTCTTCGAGAAGACTCAGAAAGTTAGAAAAAGACTCAATCAGTCTTTCAGAGTTTGCTGACAGGTCTTGGCTTTCGCAGTCTTCGGGGAGTCCAAACAGCTCGCGCAGGAGACGTTGGTGATGTTTGGCGATGTTTCGTACTTCGGTGATTGAAGGAAATATGTTGGGCAAGCAGGACCTTACCTCTGTAGCATCCTTCTCAGTGCCTTCCCAGGACAGAAACCGAGCAGCACTGACAGTTTCTTATACAATCTTATTTTCCTTTTTCTTGCATAGGAAACTCGTGGTGCGATGAAGAAGTTGCATTTGTGCAATTCCCACTTTGACGGAGGAGATACCGAAAGGCACTGAATACTTGATCCTACATGCTCGTGAGCGACGATATGGCATCAGCCCTGACAGGTGTGTGTGTGTGTGTGTGCGCGCCAAAGTTCATTGTGAAAGTATATTTATTACGTGCCTCATCTTGACATCTTGAATGATGTTGTATTGATTGCTGCTTTCACATGCTTTCACTTCACAAGATATTGTAGATGCCCTCAACATAGACAGCCTGATTATTCATTGGATTAACTAGGATATGGAATGAAGTCGACCAAATACAACAGACACGCATGAAGCGATAGCCTTGAACAGTCCACGTTGCAATCCTGTGCAGTTTGAGTGCCTCATGCACCGTGAGTGTGGATCGAGGGCCTGTCCTGCTCGATGTCCAGGAGTGGGGCTGAAGAGCAGACAAAAGAGCCATGGCCTTCGCTCCAAAACACAGTGTTCGAGTGTTCGATGTCCTCCAGGAGTTGCAGCTCCGGCCAGTGAACTGGCGGCAGGCTATTGGAGGGTTTGTGCTCATGATGGTCATGGGATGTCATTGGTCAAGTTCTTGTTTACCTTTCTGCCACAAATGCCGAGCACTTTGAGTGTGTGACCAGTGCACGAGTGGCCCTACTGTTGTAAAATTATAAAAACACTACTGTATTTTGTTAGCGGCATTCTGCTGTTATTTTCCGCATATGCTCACGGAATTCCTGTGTTTCAACGGAGCAGGTGTCTCAGTCTCTGACTCCGGTAGCGGAGTCTGAGTCGGAGTCTTACATCGCATGGGGTGTATACAAGGATAGACACACTTCAGATCAATTGTCAACGATGCAATGACCGCAGCTTTGAGGCTGGCCGTTCCTAGCTTGTATGAGCTCCAGTGGTCTCCAGCGTCATCCTCTGGCAGGCTTCGGCAACTCATTTGTGTGACAACCATGATAAAAATAACATGATGTCAAAACGCCTCAGGACTTTCATAGAGGAAGGCCATGGGCCTCAGGTTCCGCGTCTCAATTTTGCAGAAGAAATGCTGACGAAACGAGGTGGCAAGTGGCTCCTCTTCTGTCCTGGAGATCAAGAGCTTGCTGAAGGATTGCAGCAAGCCATTGAGAAGGAGAAGGCACAGAAGACAGACGAGGCTGATGAGATGTTTGGATCACGACATCCAAGACCGAACGGCGTTCATCAAAAAAGAGGCTCCCAAAGAGTGTTCTTTCCGAACCGAGCCAGCTTTCATCAGATTTCAAGTCGATCCGTTGTCCTGCATCAAACTTTGTGGGTCAGCGCAATCATGTTTGCCAGGGCAGAGCACCAGAGGACAAAGAGGAAGATGACAGTGATAGCGACAAGGGCAGTGCAGGGAGTGAAGAAGATGTAGAGGCCTGCTGAGATACTCAGACATAGAGCTGAAACGTTCTGTCTTGCTGGAAGGCGAGATTATCAGCGTCTTCCTGTGCCTCAAGCGCGCGGAGGCTTTTTGCCAATTCAGTGTTGGATTTTGAGACAGTAAAGTCTCTCATCTTTGCAACACACAGCCATGCTCAATTGTGGCCGCTTTGTGGCTTGCAAATCTTGCAACAAGAACAGCCAGCAACTGCGCAAGTCGTGCCAGTGAGATTGTAACAGATTGAATGGGATGTATAGCAACCTCAGAGCAAAAACTATAGTAGACGTTCTTCAGGAGATTGATTGTTCCATCCTTTTCGGCGGGTCCGAGCCAACGAATTTTTAACGCATCAGTCCAATTCAAGTCACATAACTTCGTGACTTCGCGGCCTGAACTGGTCCCTTCCGCCATCGTGGACCATGCGGGCACCATGCAACCAAAGGAGATTTGGCTCGTGGCGCGTTTGGGTCCTCGCATTGATGAGCTGGCACGGTCATTGAGAGCGGCATTTTCGCTTGGAGCCTCATGCCGCGTTTCTTGGAAGTCAGCTGAAGGGGCATCAAATTCAATGCCAAAGAGAAACCATGTTCGAAGGCTGCATGTGTGTCCGCAGCAGCGCTGCAAGATGACAAGGATACTAGAAACAAGTAGTTACTGGCGTCCGGGTAATTTTCCTTCTAGCGTATTTATACTCGACCAGTGGTGGAACAGATGTCCCTAGTGCAGTGCGTGCATATTCAGCCTGTTGGCATTCATTTAACCAACTTGTGAGGAGTACGGCAAAATGGCCAAAAGCTAACAAATCAAGCTTGGCTGAGACAGCGAGAGCGACCTGCTTCAAGGTCATCCTCATCCAAGATAGCTCTCACTATGTCCTTCACTTGCAACCAGCAGATCTATCCAAAGCAATCTCAGAAGAGGCCTGAACTGTCACGCTTTGTTTCTGCGGATCCTCAAGCTCGTGTTATCACCATTGTTTTACACACCTGAACGGCCAAGCACCGCTGTCGCAACTTGGGTTTGTCAGGAGATTGTTGATTGCATCCAATGCTGGACCAAATCAGAGGCCAGGCACCGGACTGCCCGAAGAGAACACACCCGATGACGGGATCGGTGTTCTTTCGCCGTTGCACAGGCAATGGGCCTCGACGCTGCAGTCGAGTGCCTCGTGGCCAAGAACTTGGGATCAGTGGTGTTCCTGGATGAGACTGCTGAGGACCCTGGACACCCCCAATGTTGCTCAGCCCCACGCTACCTGCCATTTTTTGGGCCAGGAAGATTGGAGCTGGGCCGCACCGCAGCTCCCAGAAGCTGTTTGCCTTGGAGTTCATGAGGATTTTGACGCTGTCGCCAGCAACTCGTAAGCCCCGTCCCTCTTTACTCTCAGAGGTCTTTTTCCAAGTGCATTGTTAATATAGATCATCAGATTGGTTTGCAACATTTATGTAATTTGCAACCGCCCTTCATGGTAAGGCTATTTTGTCTCCGCGCTCAAACAGAGCCTTACCGCAGGATTTTGATGCAGAAGTCCAAGCAGTACGGCGAGCGGTTGGCTCACGTGCTTGTGCCGCACAACTGGGCCCTGTTGCCTTGCACTCGTCAGTGTCCTGAGCTGAGGAAGCGGGAGGGCACTCCGTTTTGAGCATGCATGCCTAGACTAGAGCTTCATTTGATTTCTGACCGAATATATTGTAATTAACCCTCACGTAGGACATTCAATAGGATAGTCACATAGTCATTAGATGTCATTGGAACATGCCATTGGATTTGTTTCTGGAGACCTCAATCAAGCTTTGTCGCCTGCGCAACAACACTAGTCCTGTGGCACGTGGTGGTACTCGTAGGCAAGAAAGTGCGAGCCAAGGGGTATGATTGAACCAATATTGTTGCTTAGTTGCTTAGCATCATCCTGGGGAGCATTCAAGCATTCACGAAAACTTGACAAGACCTATAGTGCAGCTCTCAAATCGTAAATGGACTTTGAATGTGATGTTGCTGATGTGGGGTTGACACACCATTTCCCTAGGTTCATAATCCCCAGCACCATTGCACATGCTGGGGCCCTCAAGAGAAGATAGGTTGAAGGTCCGTGCAATGCGCTCCTGAGCCTGCTCAGGCTTGTCTTCACATCCTTTCCTCCGTGCGTGTGGGGCATGCGCAAAAGCCGTTGGCTCCGGTGCGGCCAGCAGTAGTTCAGCTCAGCAGTGCTCCGCGAGCAGCATCAGCAAGACGGGACTTTAGTGAAAGTGTGAGAGCCGATGTTGATGACCCCAGACATCGAACACCAACCTTGGGGCGACTAGTTTCTCAAGTGTTGGTTTTTCCTCGAGCAGCATGAGGGGACAGCTGTCTTGCCAATGAGATTCCAATTCACAAAGTGCAATAATTAATCCTTTGTGGTATAGAGTTTGGGAGCACTGTGATTGGAGGGCAGTGGTTCTTCCGCATGTTCTCGCGGCAATCTACGTAGGAGCGGACTGAGGGTTGGCCGTGGGAATGGATTCAGCTGCAGCTTGTTTCTGAGCCGCAGGAAACTTCAGGCGGGCTTTGCCCCGCAGGCAACCCCTGCGCTTTCTGTTGCAACTGGATGGTCATCCGCTTGCCACACCTGCAATCAGAGCTGAGGTCCACCAGGACACGGCCAATTTCCACATACAGATACAGTAATCATGCAGAGTCCATTTGAGATGTAAAAATTACATAAAAACATATATGCTATACATAGTATAAAAATGTATAAAATTATTTGATTTTATATGAATATTTCAGTATCTCAGTGAATCCAATCTGGCATGTTTGCGGAGGCCATAGTTGCTGCGTGCCTGGTGTCCAAGAGTGTCTACGACGAAGCTCGACTTGGTAGGCACTCCACTTGGCTGAAACGGATCAACCAAAGAGACCAGACACGGGTGAAGCAGAGGCATCATCGAACACAATGGAACACACACACAACCCCCCAAAAGCGGTCAAGATCCCACACGTTCAAACTCGACGAGTTCAGTACTAGTAGCAAGGACGCTATTAGGTGGAGGCCATCGCGACTATGTTGGGTGAAGAGCCAACCGAGGGAGGAAGACACGAGACACGAAGCTGAGGAACGTGACACGAAGCTCCTTCTGGCTTGGCACGAGCCTGCGGAGCCCGAAGGGAGGGCCCTCACAGTGGATCGAAGCCTTTTGGGACTTTCCAAAGCTCGGCTGGTGCCCTCTGAGAGTCAAGTGCTCGAGGCCTTGCAAGTGACCCTTCAGCTTGAGCTATGCCAGTGTAGGCATATATAGATATAAATATCTAGGCTATATGAATGAATGCTATGCATTATTTTCCTCTTCCATAATTGTCTTTCTCAACTTGGTTTGTTGTCATCTCTCTGTCTTATGGATCTTGATCCCATCATTAAGACTAATTAAGATAGACCAATCTTGGACCGAATGAATTCTTTAAGGAAGATGAAGGAGGCTGCATCTCTCCAGAGAAGCGTTGAGGACTTGCTAGATGAGGCGGCGCGTTTGAGCTTCCGACCACCAGTGGTTGTCAAGGTCTCGCAGCTCTTTGAGGATTCTGAGGAGTTGCCCAAGTGGAAAAGCCAGAGAAGCTGGCCAACAGATCCGCCAATTTTCCTATGCATCAACTGGAATGGTGCCATGAATGCCTTCGGTGCCTTGCGAGGGACTTGCCTAGGCGTGCCAGTGGCCCAGCAGTGACTAGATGTCCAACGCTCTTTTATATTACTATATTCTGTTTCAGGTTTGCAATCATGTCTGCATCCCTTCGTATCCTTCGTTTTAAGGCTGGCAGTCCAGCGAAAATCATCGTGACCTTGCAACACTGGCACAACTTGGGAGTGCTCCCTGCGACAGTTACGCCTCGCCCAGCGCTCCCCTCTAGAAGTGAAGAAGAGCTGGAGAAAGACCTTGCCAGATTGGTTCCACAACCCGGAAAGGATGTCCACTTGAACGCGCCGGTGTCATTCAAAGGTCGCGTCATTGGTCGAGTTCGCATGGGCCATGTGCTCTTTGCAGAATGTGGGAAGGCGAAAGTGATGTGTAAAGAACAACGCCTGCAAAGCTCTTTCCACGTTGCCATAAATGAGCTCCGGGTTGGAGATACTCTCTATTGCACGGGCTATCCAGGTTTTGAATACAAGTGTGAGCCTGTGATTTTCGCCACAGAACTCTTGGCCATTGAACCCGGAAGCGAGCAACGAGAATCAGAGCAGACTACATTGTCAGGGGCTGAGTCGTTCTTTCATCAACAGAGTAATGCACTTGGCGATGTCAGACCATGAGGTTTCGTGACGACGACTTGCTGGTCATTGAAAAGCCGGCAGGAAAGCTTGCCTGGGAGGATAACAGACACCGCAATGAGCGCGGAACAGCCGTGAAAGTTGATGCAGATTCTCGTTCAAGAAAAAAGTAATTACAAAATTGGTGTAGCGATTCGTTTCTTTAAAGAAAATCATTTTTTTTGCTGCCAAGGACAACCTTCTAATGGCTCCGGAGATTGAAGTTAGTGGTCCTGCAGTCTACGCATTTGAGCAGCTTGCCATCACACACTGCGCTCTTGAGTACACAGTGCTTGTGGCAGGATCTCCACGCGAGGTGACTTGCATTGCAAGGGTGTGGACAGTATGGAGTAGGCTTGAAAACAGGCTCAGAGGGAGTCTGGCTAAACATCATTGAGGGAAGTTCAAAGATGTTCAAAGAGCATGTCCAATCAATCCGACACGTGTTTTCATTTCGGAGATCCATTGATCCTGCTTTTGTCCATATCCGGTTTGCTTGGATCTGGCTAAAAGCACCTGCTTCCTGCCTGGCCTCAACAGCCGGTAGGCGCTTGCTAGATTTGCAAGGCATAAAGAGGCTCCGCATATCTCCACATTGAAACAGAACCAGTTCGTGGTTGACAGGGCCAACGTAGATCGACTGGTCGAGCAGGGTTAAACTTTTCATTGCAGGCCGAGTGAACAGCTCTTCGAAGAGCTACATCAACAGACGATTGTCGTTCAGCCTCTCAAATACAGCCATCCGATCAGGATCTACAACCTCCAAACCAGCTTGTTTTGTTCCTGCGACTCGCAAAACATGGTTTCGAAGGACATCCGCTGATGGTCCGTGCAAACATGAGTTGGGTAAGGTACCCGCCGTTTTTCCACCCCTTGTCATGCTTGTTTGAAGTGTTGACATGTTTGCTCTCCACAGGAAGCGTAAAGGTGCCATAATGTACAGGTGATGGAAGGACACTTGCAAAGTTTCTTGAACGCGCTGCGTAGCGGTGACAGCAGAGTATGGCAGAGTTTCCAGTCTCAATGCTTGCCACAAACATCACAAACACTTCAAAGTGAATTGAGAAAGCAAGTGAGTTGGATCAGGTTCAACTCACATGTGTCTATGTACTGGGCTTTGAGGGATTGAAGTGGTCGAAGCTTCACTCTGTGGTAAATTGAGCTCTTTCGATTACACACCAGTCCTTTCGTTTTTCAGCTGACTTTTGCAATTTGAGATTGGGTTGTACAGACCATCGATTCGTTTATCGCTTGTTGTCCCTCCCCCCTCAATTTTAATGTCAAAAGACTTTCTATGGCATTACAGATGGAGAAAGCATGAGAAAGAAAGCCTTGGTTTAATGGAAAGTCTCACCCAGCATTGCGCGATGATTGAGTCACTTATTAAGTGTTTTGTTCTATATCGTGACAGCACTAGTTCTATATCGCACTTAGGTCTCGTCAATCAGTGCAGCATTGCGCCCGGCACGTGGAAAACCCAAAGAAGATGCAGAGACACTGCTGGAAATGCTGTGGCAAGGAGAAGACTGACACATAGTTCTGCCCAATACATTTTGTTTAAATAAAACACATTTGTTTTAACCTGGTGCATTTCACACGCTGTTTTGTGCTTCAGGGTGGGCAGCAGTATCCCCCAACATGCCCCAACAGTAACACTTGCGGCATCTTGCGGCCTTGTTCAACGACATAGAGTCTGGTTCCAGAATTGTCTCTGCGACTTTGTTCGAAGTTGACATGTTCGACTTTGTTCGACATCAGGCTCACTCCTCAAAGCGACGGTCAATGGCACTGAAGTGAAGTCGCAGGTCTGCAGGCCACGGTCAATCGCGTTCCGGTCGGGGGTGAGGGGAGCATTCGACGCATTTGGCGACTGCTGAATGAGGCATCTACACATCCTTGGATTTCCAGTGTGGGGTGATCGTTCTTAGCTCAGCAGCTTTAGCAAGGCTTCGCATGGCTTGAGCCTGGCAATCAACTGTTGTTCACCCAGGTCGCTTTGGAAATCAACGAGCCAACCTTCGTTCTCGAGCTGTTTTTGGCCTTGCCAGACCCTGGTGCCACTTGACGCGCTTGGAGTTATGTGGAAGTTGGGGTGGCCTTCTGTGTGAAAGCCAGCCTCCGTCAGATCTCATGCGAGTTCGAAGCCCAGTCGATGATGTAGAATATTGGAAAGCAAGTTTTTTTCCAAAAGAATTGTACACAGATTCTGATCGCCATTTTTAGCATGGTTACAGCATCTTACAATTCTTTCACTCCTTTTGACTCAGGTCCTTGCTGCAGTTGGATGTGTATGGACCTTTCCATCTACCTTCTGCAAACGTCCACCTTTGTCAGACTTGTCTCACTTGGAGCAAGGACTCTCAATCTCATATTATTCGGTCATTCGCCCGCGTTGGAAAAAGTCTGCCTTCAAGCTCAAAAGTGATAGCTAGTTTGACCGGAGACAGTTCTGAGCTTCTGCCAGGTCACCAGTTTCAAAGAGCCCCACGACAATCTGTCAGGGCCCTGAACATATCCTAGACATTGCTAGATAGTGTAGATGGTTAGATTGCTGGTGAGCAAAGACTTGCTGAAGGTGACTTTCGATTCGAGGAATGTTTGTCATGGAGTTTGAAGACTCCATTCATGATGCATCGCCAGTTCCTGTCTCACCTACTCCCCTTCCAGGCACTGATACGCTGCCCGAAGAGCTTGAGAGCTTCGACAAGATTTTCCTTTTCGCATCAGGGCCCCCCCAACTCCGATCGAGCTTTGGAAGCGCCTTGGAGGAACAATGTACACCTTTGTTTGTACAGTTAGGGTGTGTCCATGTGCGTCCCATTACCATCAAAAGAAGGTACTAATAGGAACCAGCCTCCACTGCTCCTGGCCATGGGATATTGTCCACATGTGTCATAATTCTTGGATGTCATGTGAGTTGAGGTTTTGGCTGCAGCGTTGCTTGTCATGAAGACGCTCTGGCAATTAGATGCAGCCTTAGCTCCATGGTCCATGACTACCCTAGGATAGTGAGGCAGTGACTTGTCGTTCCTGCACACCAAGGTGAACAGATCCAAGCCTGCTGAAATTTGGCTTCCAAGCTCAACCATGCGATTCAATCTCAAACAGCCTTGTCTTTGCGTAAGGCCAACCTAAGCAAAGTCCACCAAGTTGCCTTGGTCAACCATTGGGAGTCCCTGTCTTTGTTAATCGCTATACTTGACTGGTTGTTGGCAGTGGCTGTCAGGTTTGTTGTTGAAGGCACACAAGCCGCGCAGCTTGCTGGACACCCAGTGGTGCAGACCCACTTGGATATGGCGTGAGGGGTGCCTTGGGATATCGCTGGTGCCAGAGCACCAAGGAAGATTTGGCAAAGGCTTCCATCCCTTTCCATGGCGGCTTATGGGGTTTGGCTCGTTGTGCAAGGTTCATGCCTCAGTCATGGTTGTCGTTTGCGGGTGCTGGCATTTCTTCTTCAGACAAAAGACCCTCTGCAGATTCCGCAGTTTTTGACTTGAGAAAAGAATCAACAACAATAATACTGCCTCCTGCTGCTTGTTCGGCTCGAGTTGCTGTCCGCGACGGTTTCTCTTGGTTCGATTGACTCTGGAACTTCGTCAGCATGGCTCCAATGAAGGCAATGAAGGCGATGAAGGCTATGAAGGCAATGAAGGCAATGGCCGCAATGAAAGCGATGAAAGGTGGCAAAGTCATGACAAAGGGAGCCCTGGCCTCCGAATTGGCTGAAGCCGCGGAGTTGAAGAAGGCTGAGGTCACCAAGCTATTGGAAGCACTGGCCGAGATTGGCACTAAGGAGGCATCTCGGACAAAGACGTCTCAAGTATTTTATGCTAATCCATAAATATGTTTTGTTGTTTTCAATGTGTGTCGTTGTGAAACATTCTGAGAGATTTAGGTGAAAAAGGCTGGCAAGTTCATCCTGCCTGGCCTTGCCATGATCAAGACTCGCTGCAAGAAGGCCACCAAGGGTGGAAAGAGGATGATGTTCGGCAAGGAGGTAAAGGTCAAGCCACAGCCTGCCAAGACCGTGGTGAAAGCGTTCCCCGTCGCAGCTTTGAAACAAGCTATTTGAGGCAGCTGACTGGTAGCAACTTGGGAGTTGCAAAACCAGGTTTTGGAGGCCAGCATGGTCTCATGCATATTTCACCACTTGAATGCCAGCTCCTGTGAATTGAGTCACTGGAGCTTGCAAGTTGCCAGTGT